TGATGTGAGTTTCTGATGATTTTGATTGATGATTGATGTCTTGCTGAGCTGTTAGCTCATCCTTGTTTTCTGCGTGGTTTTCAGGTTCTGGGAAAGGGAAGGAGGTCTTGGACTAGACGTTCTGAGTCTGATCTGTGATTAGGTACTTGATACTTTTGATTTTTGTACAGTCATGGTTTTTCTGTTCTGTTATGTTCTTTCTGTCTGAAGCCATGCACTGTATCTGTATATGATTATTTTGATGAAAGAAAAGATAGATGAACTGCGCTGTGTTTGGATGTTTATAGTAGTTCTGTGTTTTTCTGTCTGTGTTATATTTGGAGGAAAGTTCTGAAGCAAATTCCAAAGCCAGATCCTGGATTTGTTGGCTCCGTCGCGGCCCGATGCGAGCGGGATCCGTCCCGGTCGGGTTGGGTCGTGACACAAAATACCGCCTATACCGAGGTGTACCGAGTTTTTTTGGAAAAACTCGGTACACCTCGGCATAGGCGGGATTTTGCCTACAACCGGATGTTCCTCTGCATCCGGTCGGAGGACATAATAATTGTTCCATTGTGAGGGTTCCATTATTAATAGGCGGACATTTTAAATGACCACGCGATGATTTAGATTAAGACAAATTTTAAATGCTTTTTACCATTAATGTTACCTTCCTGCTGTCTATAACATTACCGGATTTGTCATTTATGTTCCATTTAGCCGCTTTTGTTGAGCAATAGAGTAATTGCTCAAGTGATGAAATATTCTAACTGGCGTTCAGATTATAACTTATATACGAGAACTCTTATCTATGTAATTTCATTGATATTTCCTGGAATTTTTTTTAACCAACGCCACCATTATAGGTTTGTTTCAACAGTGTTCCTCATACATGTTTGGCATGATTATAGGTTTGGTTCAGCAATGTTCCTCATACACGTTTGGTTGAAGATAAAGGAGGGCAAAATTGGATCACAAGGGATAAAGATAAGTTTAAGTTTCCCGGAGGAGGAACCCAGTTTATACATGGAGCAAATCAGTATTTAAATCAAATATCCGAGGTATCTTAAGATCTTCAAAGTAGTCGCTCTTTTACAGATTGAGAAGTATTTTATAGCACATAATTGGATTCTTTTTGAGTATGTATCATCCTATACATCCTTGTGCAGATGGTTCCAGATATTGCGTTTGGTTCACATACTAGAGTTGTTCTTGATGTTGGATGTGGTGTAGCAAGCTTTGGTGCATATTTGTTTTCAAAGAATGCAATCACCATGTCGATTGCCCCGAAAGATGTTCATGAGAACCAGATTCAATTTGCTCTTGAGCGTGGTGTGCCTGCAATGGCGGCAGCTTTTGCAACACGGAGGTTGCTCTATCCAAGCCAGGCATTTGATCTAATTCATTGCTCAAGATGTCGCATAAATTGGACACGTGATGGTATACATTATTATCTTTCTTTTTACTTCAATTTTATACATTCACCGAGCATTGAACTATGGCTCCAAAAGTTACTTGGTTGCAGTAGTCTTATTCATTCATTAATGTTACATTGTCTCTTTGGTACTTTGCCACAAACTTATTGATTTAGCTTAAATCTACAAATGCTACATACAAAGATTTTGATTTGGTTTCATTTAATGTTTTTGATGAAGATTCTAAATTATTTTTGGATTTTGATCTGATTCTATTAAGAGATCTCATGAGATTAATATCCAGTTTTTCCATAGAATATTATTGTTTCTTACAATTTTTGTTTTGTATTCTCTGAAGTTGCAAATCATTGGTCCCATAAGCTAGTCTTTGTTGATGGTTTTATAGACGAGTCTTTGGTGATGTTACATTGATTACCATCTTGAGGCTTGGTGCTACTTAGTTTCATTTGAGGCATTGATGTGTAGGGGCCTGCAATGATTAATGATAAGAGAGAGATGTTACACTAGAATATCGTAGCAATACTTGCTGTGCCATGCCTTTAATGCAATCAATCATGGGTAATCCTAATTTTAATGTGCTGATGGACAAATGGAGATTGTCATAATTTGGAAGGTAAGAAACCAATGTTAAGGAATAAGAATGGGAGGTAAAGAGATAAATAGATTTAGAAGATTAGGAGAATGAACACCTCAATGGGATGGAGATCCAGTAGGGAGAAGAAAAGAAAAACCTCATAGATAAGAGAAAGAACTATCAATAAATGATTAGGAGGAGAGAAAATGCCGAAGGAGAAGCCATATCTTTGTTAACCATTTGAATTACATGACCTTGATATTATTTAAAATAACATGCCGTATTCAAAGTGACAAAATTGACAACAACATCAACAACACATCAGGCTTTTATCCCACTATATGGAGTCGGCTACATGAATCATTTTTCTCCATTGTGTCATGATAAGAGTTAAATTTTCATTTAAATCTAATAAAAATATCATTTATAATAATTTTTTAATCAAGTCTTTTTAGGTCTACCTATACTTTTCTTCACATAAGACAAATCTAACACATCTATTCTCCTAATCAGGTCTTTCGGAAGGCCAACGTTTTATATGACCAAACCATCTAGGACTACTCTCTCTAATCTTAATAGTGACAAAACTAACCTTGAATAAAAAAAAAATCAACCTAGTTGTTAATGATGCCTGACATTTTAACTTCTAATGATTACTTGAAATAAATAAGGGTAATAACATAGAGATGACAAAATGAATAATACTGATAAAATTGGCACTATAATAAAGCCTAATTGAACAATTAGTTGAGTGACATTGCCTATGATCTCTAAATTGAAAATCTAAGGTTTCAAATCCTTGAAGGACTAAGGGAGATTAATTGCACTGCATCATATTGTACAACGTCCTCCTTAGGAGAAGCTCATGATGTTATGATTGGAAATGGTCTTTAAGGTTTCTTGAGTTACAATTATTTAGATCTTATTTTGCTGGAGCCTATAATCTTGCAAAAGCAAGTGCATACCTTTAAAAATGAGAGTATTATTTTATTTTTTGTAGAAGTGGGGCAAACAAATTACAAATAGATTTCTTTTTTACTTAATTGAAAATAAAAATATTTTGTAATGATTGTATAAATAAAACAATTACAAAAATAATTGCCTTATGGTAAGATCATGGAATTTTAAACGGTGGAAATATTTAGTTCTTTAAGATATGTTACTAGGGGAGGCAAATTGTAGTTTAGCCAAACCTGATACAGGATAAGATGGTTAGTTTCATTAATAAGGTTTTTGTAGAAGTGTCAAGAGTTTGGAAGTAGATGGTCCATTGATAAGGAGATTTAATCGTTGAGTGAGATTCAAAAGATAATTAAGAAAAATATGTGCTATTAAAGAGCGACTTAAAATTAATATTACTGAGGCTTTTAATGATTATACAAAAGCTGAATGTCTTATAATGAGTGTAGTGAGTAATGTAATAACTTTTCTTTGGTAATTTAAATAATAGACTTAGTACTAAAGTAGGAGAACATACGATATATCGCATAGCTAAGGCAATAAATAAAAGATCTATATTCGATAGATTTTGATAAAGTTAAATGCTTTTGAATTGAATCTAAATGATCTTAATTAAAGATAAAATATTAAGGGAATGCGGAAAAAATACATTGAGAATTTTTAAATAATAGTTTTAAGGAATAAACCATTTTGAAAGATTATTATGAAAAATAATGGCATATATTATAGATTGATTCATAAATGTGATGTAGAATTAATTTTGTGGAAGATGCAAAAATATAAAGCTCTTGTTTGAATGAGATATCCTTTTGGTTAACAAAATTTTCAGTAGAGTTTTGAGGACTAATCGGTTAAACTGAGCAGGGAAGAAAATGGTGGTACCCATAGTGATGAATGAAGTAGATTTTATGATTTTTTTTTTATTATAGAGGAATCAAAATTATGGGTCATACAATGAAACTATAAGAGTAAGAGATATTAAAATAGTAATGGAACATAAAACTAAAAAAATTACATTAGTTGTGTAGAATCAATATGATTTTATGCGAGGAAGATTGACTATAAAAGTGATTATTTTATTAAATTAGTTAATGAAAAAAATACTGACTAAAAGATATGAACTTCATGTTATTTTTATTGATCTTGAGAATATATATAATCAAGTACCATGATAATTAATTTGATGAATGTTAAGAAGGAAATGTGTGTCAAATGTATGATGAAGTTATTCAATATATGTATGGTAGAACACTGATTAGTGTTAGGAGTACTTATAAAGTGATTAAAGAGTTTTCTAGTACAATACAATTACATCAATGATCAACTTTGAGTTCATATCTATTTTTATTGATGCTTAAAAAGAATTTTTAAATTGAAGTGTCTTGGTGTATGCTTTTTGTAGATAATGTAATTCTAATATGTAAAAATAGGGAACAATATTTAGAAGATAGATGACTTAAAAATTAGTTGAGAAAATATCGAGCATATGATATGCAATTTTAGTGAATATTATGATAAAATTGTCAATCGATACTATTACAAGATAAAATGATACCTAAGTATAAATTGAGAAGTGTGTCAAGAGTATTATGTGGAGTATCATAGAGACTTAAAGGTAACTTTATCAAGCTGAAATTAAATCAATGATATTGTTTGAATTGGAATGTAGGCAATAAACAAATCACTGATAGTTAAGTTACTTGCAGTGAAAGAGAATGTTAAGATGGATGTGTAGCAAAATTAGAAATGATAAATTAAAGAATAATTATATCTGGGGAAATATTGAAGTGATATATATTGCAAACAGTAAATTGAAAATAAACTTAATATTTTTGGACATGTTCAACTAAAGACAAAAATGCTCCAATTAACTAGTTTAATAAACCTATCGTGGATGGATAAAGTGGTTGTTTGATTGAAAGTTTTTAAATTCATGTATTTTAGAATGCAAAGTAATTGGAATGCCATTATTTAAGAAAAACATCAGTAGTTTAGTTGGATGCAAATCAAATACATACAAATATATTTTTAGATGTTTATTATGATGCATTTCAAAGTATTTAAATGTGGTAGGCGGTGACAAACGGAATCGCGAGCAGTTGCAATGTGAGATTTGGAGAATAGGTATTTCAAATCTCCCATAATTGTTGCTTCAATTCAAACAATAAAAAATTTGGAATGCAGGGAAAATGAATACTATACACTCTCAGTGCAACATTGATAGAAGTTATTCAACATGATTTGTGAAGAAATATGTTCAACACCTTAGGTATCACTCAGTAGTAATGAATGAAATATGAATAGTAAGGATTCTTAAAACTAATCCTAAATAGTTGTGATAAGACTAATGATACGATTTCAATCATTAAAATATGAATATAACTCCTTAAGATCTGTTAAGTGTTTCAATTTTTCATACTATTTGCTTTAACTGCATTTAAATTTAAGGGATTATTTTTATATTGCTTAATATCCCAATAAACAAGCAAAATTTTGTAGTAATAAACAGTTCACTCGTCATTTCTTTGAGTTGGCCAACTTTTGTAGCTTGTTGCAGCAATCTTAAATTACATATGATTATTTGTGCTCAAAAGGTGGTTGTAATAGCTATGCTCATTGCCTAGCTGCTCAAACTAATTTGGTGCATGTGTCCTTAAATTCAGCTACTGCTGGTTTTATACTTCAGTTCTGTTATGGTCATGATCCTGGCCTTTAAAAATTACTTTTATCTTTTTAAAACAAATTTGTTCCACAAATGCAGCTTCTGATTAGAATGGGAGTTTCTGAACTCTATTGGCTCTGCTACACTGATCAGTTTTCTTAAATATGATGAAGATGGAATCTTGCTTCTGGAAGTCAACAGAATGCTGAGAGCTGGGGGATACTTTGCCTGGGCAGCACAACCAGTTTATAAACATGAAGAGGCACAGCAAGAAGCCTGGAAAGGTAGCTTCTGTTTTAAGATTTTCCATTTGAAAATAAATTGTTGCATTGAATGTGTAACCTTTTTGACTCAAAATAAAGTTAGCTTCTCAATACATGGTATGCATGTATTTTTATAACAGAGATGGAGGACCTGACAACACATATTTGCTGGGAACTCGTGAAGAAGGAAGGATATATTGCCATATGGCGTAAACCTCTGAACAACACTTGTTACATCATTCGGGATGCTGCAGTAAAACCTCCATTATGCAACCCTGATGATGACCCAGATAGTGTTTGGTATTCACCATAATCCTTCGCTTTGACATCCTTCATATATGGAATAATTCTTAAGAAAATTTTGCTTTCTTTTTTGCCAAATGCATTCCTTGTGTTCAGACGTTTTATATCAACTTAAATAAACAATAGAACATTGATGCTTTAAAAAATAAATACCTAGAAATTTTGTTTTTTTTTTATGTAGCGCAATCAGCAATCCTTTGTTTATAATGTGCCACAGTTGAAGAAGTATTAGTATTTCTTGAAAGATTGGGCATTAATAAAATAGGAATGTTGTGACATGTTCTAATGGGGTTTTATGGTGTGATGTTATAGTATGATGTGATGGAATGTTGTTGCATATTTGCTGTAGTTGAAGTTGCATTGCATTATATACCAGCATTATATTTTACTTTTGAGCAACTTCTTTGCACTCATAGTTTTATCTTTATTTTCCTCCAGGTATGCTAATCTGAAAGCATGCATTACAAGACTTCCTGAGAATGGTTTTGGAAGCAATTTGCCAACCTGGCCAGCTCGCTTGCATGTACCGCCACAAAGGCTTGAAAATGTATTAATGGATGCTAGCATTGCTAAAAATGAGTTGTTCAAAGCGGAGACTGCCTTTTGGGATGAAGTTGTAGGAAGCTATGTCAATGCTTTTCATTGGAAAAAGATGAACTTGCGGAATGTTATGGACATGAGGGCTGGATTTGGGGGGTACATTCGATTTATTATTTCTTTGATTTCTCAGTAACGGGATATATTCTTCATGCTAAACAATTATAAAAAAGTTTCGGTAAAGGTTAAAACAAGAAAAAACTTAATGAGAAAGTAACATGAAATTCAAATTGTCTTTTCATTAACCTCTTTAGGCTTGAAGATGATTATGATATTAACTGTAGTCTGTACATAATATTGTGTGTTGGGGTGGTGTCTTTGATCTGAAAATTCTGCTCGCATGACAAGTTGCTGTTGGTCTGTTTTTTTGTTTATGACGGATAGCTCTTTAGCTTTCTGACCGATAACTCTCTAACCAGGCAGTAAGCTGCACATGTGAATTGAGATTCTAGCTTCATAATTAAATCTTCTTCTAGAAATCAAGCTTATCAAATAAAGCATGCAATCACAGTATAATTTTGTTTGCTTGATACTATTGTATGAACATCGTTCGAAAATTGTCCTCATTTTACTTCAGCAAAGCGAAATAAGTTCTCTCTAAAAGTGTAACACACTTATTTTTACATTCAATCATCAGTTCATCACCGATATATATATATATATATATATATGGAATTTCATATGTAAGATTCAATAACTACTTGATCTTTATTGTTCATGTCAGAGAATCTTTGCTTACTTCTGGCCATTTTCATGGCAGGTTTGCTGCAGCAATGATTGATAACCAGCTTGATAGCTGGGTGATGAATGTTGTTCCCACTAGCGGCCCCAACACATTGCCTTTAATATATGATCGTGGCCTTATAGGAGTTGCCCATGACTGGTATGTTATGAATTTTATTTTCCAACAATTTTCATGATGTTTTTTCAGGTTCTGATTTCATATTCCATTGAATTTTTACTATCCCTGCTATATTTTCAAATTCATTCAGATCATCTCCTTGTAGATTGTTTCTTTGGAGTTGTATCGACCAAGATGCTAGCTTTTAGTACTTAGATCTTAAGCATCAGCCTGAAATTTTATGTTGGAGTTTATATACACAAACTATCCGAGTAGAGTTTATGATGTAAAACCAGGAATTGAATTTAGAAACGTAATAAAATATTGTTCAAGTGATGAAATTGCAAGCTTAATTTTGTTCTCAATTGAAACTTTTCGGAGATCTTAGAATTTGACTATGGCTAGGCAAGAGCTTACACCTAAATTAGCAAGTTCACTCGTCCGCGGTTGTCGTATTCAAACCCGAAATTCCACTCGGGAACCTCCATGCATCCTTGGAGAGGTCAAAGGGTGGTCGCCGCAACTGGATCTCCAAGGAGGAGGGATGGGGCGGCGGGTTGAATGATGGATTGGGAGGCCGGCGGTGGAGGTGGGGTGAGGGGAGATGTGTATAGAAAACAATAACAAAAACTGAGAATAATTTCAGCTTTGGGGAATTTTGGGGGGGGGAATTTGAATTCCAATGAGGGAGGAATTAATTCCTTAATGAAGAATTAATGGGGGGGAAGAGAGAGGGGAGGCCGGCGGTGGAAGAAAGAGAGAGGGAAGGGAGTAAACTGAAATTATTTCAGTTTTAATCCAAATAGGAGGGAAAATTAATGACTCCTAATTTGAATTTCAAATTAGAATTATGGGATTTAATGTAGTAATTAAGGGGGAGCATAATGGGGGGCCGGCGGCATGCTTAAGGAGGGAGAGGGAGTTATGGAGAGGGAGAGAAGGTTTCCAAATTGAGGATTAGATTTGAAAAATTCTGAAATAAATCCAAATAAAATCTTGATTTAAAATTTGAATCTATTCAAAGACTTTCCAAAAATAGATTTCCAAATTTGGAAAGAAATTGAAACTTGAGAATCAAATTTCAATGAGGGGTTGAATGAGGAGGTGGAGTGGTGGTGGCGGAGGGGGAGGGAGTCGTCGGCGCGGTGGTGGGCGGCGGTGGAAGCTTGGCCGGCGGTGGGGAAAGCCCTAGGGGCCGGCGGCAAGAGCAAGGAGGTGGAGGAATTTTGGAAGAACTCTCTAGTAGGAAGAAAATTATGCAAAGCAATTAAAGAAAAGATAACTAGAGAACTCGCTAAGAGATCTCAATGGAAGCACTCACCAAGAGAACTTCATGCACTCACAAAGAGAACAAAGCATGGGAAAATTTTCATTCATTCAGTAATCCAAATACAATGACAAAAGCCCTTTATATAGGCTGACAAAAATAAAATGCATAAAGACGAAAACGCCCTTGGGCTACAATAAGTACTACTTCCCTCATAGGGGTACAAAAGAAAAACGTGAAATAAAAATCATGAAAAGAAAAACTAAAGCATCAAAAATAAAGGCTCTGAATCAAGGCCGTCGATCGGCGCCCCCGGCGATGGTACACATGTCGAAATCTGATGCCCTCATCAGTTTATAAATTCTTTTTAGTCATATCATCCATTTGCTAACTTTCTGAGGTTAGTTTTATGAATTATGGGCACCGAAGAAGCAAGAAACAGGAAAGATGACTACAAATTACCACATATTCCCAATCTCACAAGTCTTTACAACTAATGACTATTTTTTTTAAGTACAAATAAAATCTAAACATTTGCAAGAAGATGTATCTTAGTATATGCTTTTTGTTGATGATATTCTTCTTGTTGATAATTCTAGAGAGGGAGTTGATGAAAAACTTGAATCACGAAGGTCAACCTTGTTAGTTCTTTGTGAAATTTGATTGTGTCAATTAATCGGGTTGTATTGTTGACTTAGATCTCACTTCCGTTGGTCGAGCTGAAAGAGGAGCTTGTTGGGGGGCAGCACTCCTTGCTCGGGGGTTCGGGGATGAAGAAACAACATCAACAACATCATCATCAAGCCTTTATCCCACTATGTGGGGTTGACTACATGAATTCTTTTATTCTATTGTGTCCTATTAAGAGTTAAATTCTCATTTAAATCTAATAAAGAAATATCATTTCTAACATTTTCTAACCAAGTCTTTTTAGGTCTACCTCTACTTTTCTAAACATAATTCAAATTTAATACATCTACTTTTCTAACTAGGTCATTAGAATACTGTCATTTTATGTCAAACCATATATGACGACTCTCTCTAACCTTATGCTCTATTGGAGTTACTCCAACCTTTTCACTTATATGCTCATTTCATTTCCTGTCTCCAAGGGTAAAGCCACTCATCCACCTGAGCATTCTCATCTCTGCAATACTTAATTTATTATTATGCTTCTCTTTTAATGGCCAACATTCGGCACCATAAAGCATTGCAGGTTCACCACCATCTTATAGAATTTCCCTTAAGTTTGAGAGGGACTTTTCTATCACACAACAAGCCCAATGCATTCCTCTGCTTCAACCATCCAACTTAATTTTGCTGATAATATCCCCATTTATTTCACCATCACTCTGAACAATAGATCCAAGATATCTAAAATGTGTACTCTTATTAATGACTTGATCGCCCAAAGTCACAATCCCCTCACTAGTTCTAATATTTACTAAAATTACACTCCATATATTTAGTTTTAGATTTACTCAAGTGAAAACCTTTAGACTCTAATAGTCTAATGTTGACCTCCATAGTTCAAGTTTACCTTCAACTCCCTCTGTAGTCTTATCAAAAAGAAGAATATCATCAGCAAAAAGCATACAACAAGGTATATCCTCTTGCAAATGTCTAGTGAGAACATCCATGACTAAAGCAAAAAGATATAAGCTTAATGATGATCCTTGATGTAATCCAACTGTAATAGGAAAATACTTGTCAAACCATATTGTGGTTGAACAAAAGTAACAGCTCTTGCATATATATCCTTAATGACTTGAATATAAACATTATTAACCTGTTTCTTTTCTAAAACTCTCTGTAGTATATATATATATATATTCTCTATGACTTGAATATAAACATTTTTAACCCCTTTCTTTTCAAGAAATCTCCATAGCACTTCTCTTGGAACTTTATTATATGCTTTCTCTAAATCAATAAATATTATATATAGATCCATCTCTTTCTCTCTGTACTTATTTATCAAACATCTCAATAAATGTATAGCTTCCATAGTAGACCTACCTGGCATGAATCCAAATTAATTTTGAGAAACATTAGTATCACATCTCAATCTATGTTCCATAACTCTCTCCCATAATTTTAAAGTATGACAAATTATTTTAATTTCTTTATAATTCACAAAATCTTGTGCATCACCTTCATTTTCTTAAAAATAGGAATTAACACACTCATTATCCACTCATATGACATCTTTTTAGTCTTCAAAATAATATTAAAAAGTTTAGTAAGCCAAGAAATTCCTTCATCTCCTATGCATTTCCACATCTCTATTCGAGTATCATCAGCTCCAATAGTTTTTCCACCATTCATTTTCTTTAAAGTCTCTCTAAATTCGATTTTACTAATATGCCGATAAAAAAAAAATTATTTTCATTTAGGATGCTAAGGTCACTAAAGTCAATCACATTCTCATAATCTTTACTGAAAAGTTTAGTAAAATATCTCATCCACATTTGTTAAATATCCTCTTTTAATAAAAGCATATTGTGATCTTCATTCTTAATGCACTTCACTCGAACTAAATCCTTAGTACTCCTATCTCTTTGGTTAGCTAACTTAAATATATATATATTTCGCCATTCTTAATATCTAATTTATTACATAAATCATTAAAAGCTAAAATATTTGCATCCCATATTACTTTCTTAGACTCCTTACAGGCCTTTTTATATATTTCTTAATTATCAGAATTTTTACGTCCAAACCAATTTTATAACATTTTTTTTTAAAATTTTTATATTTTCTTGCACATTTTGATTCCACCATCAACTATTTTGACTATTAAGAGTTTTTCCTTTTGATACTTAATACATATCTTTTACAACATTTTTAATATCACTAGCTACTTTTTTCTCACATAACATTGGCTTCCTCATGCACAGACAAAATTTTAAGATCTATAATCTTACTTTTAAAAATAGTCATGAACCTCGCTCTCACAAGCTTAAGGTCCTTATCTTTCCTGAGGTAGATTGGATTTAACATTTAACCAGATTTACCTTGAGAGTATTGTGTTAGGGTTTATTTAGATTCAGTTCCTACTTCTTATGAGTGCAAGCCCTCATATTTAATTATATCTTCTAATGCATAGAAGAGTACTCTCGATTAAGGATGAAATTATATTCAGTATGTGCATGAAATATAGATGTGTGTGCAACAGTGTATGAATGTTCTAAACCAATAGTGTATGAATGTTCTCCTACATTCTTATCTGTGATTTTGTATGTCATTCAACGCATTTAATAGGGTAGAAAGCCTTCTTTTAGTTCAAGTTTGTTGCAAAGTTAGCCCCCATGACAGGTTTTCCACCCTCGATCTTTAGAGATCCTATATATGAAGTAGCCAATGGTTACTAACAAGGCTCATTTGGCTAAATACCCAAAAACAAGTCATATATGTCTTCTAACTATCTTGACAAGGATATACTGATTCACAGTAGATCTGTTATATTGGTTCTTATTTGACATGTTATTTTACTTTTTAGTTTGTCTTTTTTAGGCTATTTTACCTTTTTGTTATCTTGGGTTGTTTTAGTATAAATAGAGGTGACTTGTATTGTTTGAAATGACATGAATGTGAATGAATAAATTTTCAGTTCAGTTTTCTTTCCAAAACATGTTATTTTACTTTAACTAAAAAACGTTGTTAGAGCTTTTGATATTGTAAGAATAATGCTCATCGTGTATCATTTGATTATATATTCCCACACTATAAAATTAATAATTACTTATTGTTTAGATTGTGCATTAAATTGTCAACTTCAAGTTTAATATATTGATAAATTATTATAAATTGTAATGTGCTTAATTTTATGATTTTTTTTAATATTAGAAGCAGTTATTTCTCATTTTACACTTATATACATACATGAATATACACCCAAGACCCAAATTGACCCAAAATTGTAATATATATATATAGTATGTGCTGACATTTTGGCTTGCAATTCGAGTTATCAAGTCAAGAGTAATGATCAAAGTTGACTCAAGTGCGAGTTAGGTCAAATTTGGAGCATTTATTTATCTATTTCAAGTTTCAATTTATTTCCACAATCTTAATAAAAGCCAATATATATGCTATTAATTTTGACTAACTCATTAATGAAATTTCAAGTCATATTGCTGTAGCTTTATCCTGTACGAGCATTTAATTTTTTTCTCATGTGATCGAAGACAATCATCAAGTGAAATTTGATGGATCGAGCAGATAACCAAATATTTTTAAAATGCTTGAAATCTTCACTCAATAGCATTTAAGAGGATGGCCAGGATTGATTTTAAATTTGAAGGTTCTACTTCCAAATTTAAATGGGTGGAAATTCTCATAAAGGAGATATGTTCCTCCCCCACATACACACATTACATTTTTATGCTGCAGTTTCTGGCTTTGTAAGCCTAGTTTATCGAGTTTATGATATTCAAGCTGCAACAACTGATGAAACATACATGATTGAATAGAGGTTAAGTTTCTCCAGAATTCCTTAGAAATAAATGCGAAGATTGTCATTACCATTTCTGTTTTCCCTGTGCAACATCCGGATAAACGTCAAAATTTCATATTGGTATCATGAAATGTTTAGTGAAATTTGTACCATAGGCTATACATCTTATCCAGTGTGTTTTAAAGCGTCTCTTTTACGTGCAGGTGCGAACCATTTGATACATATCCTCGAACTTACGATTTATTACATGCATTTGGTCTCTTCTCCACAGAACAGAAAAGGTAATTAACCTCCAAAAGCTTTTTTCTTTCTTAAATAGAAAACTGTTAGCACAAGCTTCAGTGCCATCACTTCTTTCAGCCAGACAAGAATAATTCCGTACTTCAAATGATTGGCTTTAGCTAATTTGCTCCGAAAAAAAAACAGCATTCATTCTTTATATCACACTTCGTATGAAATCTATTGTGAAATAGGCTAAGGCTTCGATTGGGATGACTTTCTAAAATTTTTGTACCAGAAAGCTGCTTTAACAAGCAATTGGGATGGCTTTCTTATTGCTTCTTAAAGCAGCTTTTTAGTACAAAAATTAAAATTTTAATACTAGAATGTTTTAAAAAGCAGTAAGAAAGCTAAGGATTCATTTGAGACTATTTTTTATTGCTTCTTAAAATAGAGTTTTAGTAAAAAAAATTTAATTTTTATACTAAATTTCATTTCAAGCAGCAATAAAAAAGCCATCCCAAATAAAACCTAAATCTAATGTAATTCTCATGAGTGAAAAAAAGCAAAGAAAAAAAAAAAAAAAAACTCAATGCATAATTGGTTGCTATATCTTGTTGCCATCCTGATAGATTTGACTATGTTTAATTTAATTTAAAGTTGGTGGCACCTTCAGACTAGTTTTTGAACTTCTTATATGATTTGCAGGTGTAACATCACTTCCATCTTACTAGAGATGGATCGAATTCTGAGACCAGGTGGGCGTGCATACATCCGCGATTCTAAGTACATAGTTGATGAGATCCAAACAATCACAGTGGCCCTGGGATGGAGATCAGACCAGCATGACACATCTGAAGGTCCTTATGCTAGCAGGAGGATCTTAATATGCCAGAAATAGACGCCTTCCATTTCCATATTCAAATCAGAAAATCTGTGAGCGCAGCAGCGGCTGTGGCCCTAAAAGCATGCCAAATCCAATGCACCTGCAAGGGCCTGCTATTTTTCTTTTTGGTTAGTTCTGACTATCTTTCTTTGTTTCTTCATAATTCTTTTTTTTTTAATATTGAAAAATAATTGATTTTAGGATTTGTTGCACAGTTGAATTAGTGGTTATGCAATTTATTTGTTTTTTACTATGAGTATTCATCGGCCTATTTGTATTCAAGTTTTATTGAGATATTCTTAATCTAATTGTTTTGGTAGTATCCAAACATTTAAGTTTGTATTTGCATAAAAATTAATATCGTAATGTGATCTCATTAGACATACATATTGATATGTTATAAAAAATTGTCTTGAGAATTTTAATGCATGTTTGAATTGGAAACATTCAAAATTAAATTTGGGATATCCAAACTCTAATTTTGGCAAATTTATAGTCAAGCTGAACGACTCGAAGAGAAGAACTCAACAGCACCAAAATCGGTTCAATCCAAGTATAAATATGCTTAAATCAACGACTTAATATACAATCGGAAGCTTCTGAATATAAATTGGGTTATCAAATGATATCCAAATATTGTATGCTTATAACTAAATCGAGCGACTCAATGAAACAAATCTAATGAGCCTAAGATTGTTTAATTCTAATATCATTAGGGCACTTAAATGCTTGACGAATGCTCTACGAGGGGATCGATGAAGCACTCCGAATTTAACTTGTATTTTCTCCATATTTCTGAAGCATGTTGTGAGACCATTAGGATCAAAGTTTAGTTTAGACCAGTTGACTCGATTGAAAAAAGGTAAATATTTGATTTTTTAAGTTTTGAACTCATTTGTATTACTTTAGGAGTATTTTTATGCATGAAAATGATCGTATATGTTTTAGAATGAGTCTTTAAGTATTTGGTGTGTATTTTAACTAATTATGAGAAATGTTATTATTTGAGCGCCTCAGTGCTAGCTGGCCAAGCATCTCGATGTTGCTATAGTATCAGACGTGAAATAGTGACATTGCAGGGTTATAGCCGAGTTTTTGAGCTTTGAAAGAGAGAGAGAGAGAGAGAGAGAGAGAGAGAGAGAGGTTTTGGAGAGGAAAAGAGGATGCTTTAGGTTGATTTTAGCCGTCAGGTTAGTTGAAAAAGTTGTTCACCTTGAGGCGGGTGTCATTTTGCCTATCTCAGTTTTCAGTAATTTGATATTTTTTAGGATTTATTTGATAAAATTTATATTTTCATTACGAAAAAATGGGAATAACTTTGTATTGAAAGAACTTTCATCGCATAACTTTTTTATATGTTATAGTGCTGGTAATTACGAACATTTTGAGTTTTTTCTTGAAGATTTTCGCCGGGCATTTTTTTTTTGTGTAATTGTTATTGAATAAAAAATAATTCAGACTCTGAAAAATAGTACTGTTGTATGATTAAAGTTTTAAAGTCTTATAATGATGTTTTATACAAACTCGTTTAATTTGATTATGTTTGAAAATTGTGTATTTTTGCTCAGTAGTATTTCTGTTGTTTATCGTTAACTCATTTTTATAATTTTTTAATTGAGTCCAATTATTCTTTAATTAATGAAATGGATAAAAATGTGTATAATGGTAAAGGAAAGGTGTGATGATGTGATGTAATGCGTTGTTTAGTTATGCCGACGCCATTGGGCGACTAATGTGGGATTCTATTATGCCGGTGCCAACGACCGACCGAGGGGGGATTTTATTATGCTGACACTAGTTGGCGATCAAAGTGGGATTCTACTTTGTCGACACAAGTTATCGATCAAGGTAGGATTCTATTATGCCGGGGCCTGTGAGCTATAGAGATGGGATTCTGTTAACGAAGCGATAAATATGTATAAAAATTTGGGTTAACAGCCATTCTGAGAAAATGAATATATGCTTATAATTCATTTGGTTTTAGTACAGCTTTCAAAATTTTTTAAATGCTTATGAAGTTCAGTTTCAGCTTATGTTTCAGTTTCAGTTTTCCATACAGTACTTTAGTTTATTTTATAGCACAATATTTTTTAATTTTCTTTTTGTTTTAGTTATTGATTTTTGTTTTAATTTGTGATAGCCTATTGAGCCATGTTAGCTTGTTCTTTCTTTTGCTTCCATTTTTCAGGCCAGTGAAAGGGTAATGAGTAAGCTAAGTAGTTTGGATAGCAAACTCCGATTTGTGATGTAGGCATGCCTTTTTGGTTAGTCTATTTTTACAGTCTTAGCGTTTAGTTGTTTTGTTGGTTATTGCCAAATGCTAATAGGCTTCATATTGTAGATATTTTTGGATGAAATATATATAATTATTTTTTAGATTCAGTAGCCTTCAGTTTTATAATATAATGGCTTTGTATAATAGATACTTTGGAAGATTTGTTTTTGTGCTTATTCGAATTGATCTTGGGGTCAATCTTGTCACAATTGGACACGATATGACCTGTGTGATATTATGTCATATCGGGCCAGGTTGTGACACATGTAACTCTCAAAATTTATAAATAAACATATACTCTCTATATAAAGGAGACTTTAGAGAAAGACCTTTGGGGCGTGGACCTTGGGATAGAGATTCAAAAGAGATCTAAGTCATGAGTCTTGGAACATCATAACTGGTGAACCATTGCTGCCCAGTCCTAGCCAACATACTTTCATAGGCCGATCATCACTAGACATCCAATAGGCAGTCGCTGTCGGACCTTAGCCAGACTATCACCAACAAACCTCAGCCCTATCACAACCAAACTCGATAAGACCCATAGATTAGACAGTTCCTTCCATGTTGAGCCGTAACATGTGAATCCCAATATCTAAGTTTTGGAAAGTTTTCAGGTATCTTCTTCCTATTCAACTTAAAAATAATAGTAAATACATTGCTGCTAATAACATCCAGTACTAAAAATAAATTTATTCAAAAAATTTGCTTTTCGTTTATCATAAAAAAATACATATACAATCATAATGCATGATTATAGACAAAAGCTACAAATCAGAGTAATAAAAACTAGTCATGACTGTGCAAAATCAAAAGAAAAAATGCCTGTAAACTCATATCAGATTCTTGAAATTGTTATTCAACAAGCTCATTCTTTTTTGAAGCCCTAAAAACAAAATGCAAAATCACAGGAAACTAAAATAGCTCAACAAGCCATAAATATTGATCTTAATTTTTAAATATTTATTTTGCTAAACACTTTCCAAAATTATGAAATGTAATATTACAATTTACTATCCTTAGTAAATCATAATAGCATAGTAGTTATCTAAAAATTTAAATAATAATACCGAGAAATTCAATAAACTAAAATTTCATATGAACTTTATTTCACAGAATAGAATATAACAAAGTTTCCCCTTCTTTCTGATAAAATTTATGAATCCACATCTTATAATTCCCAAGATATAGATTTCCCTCTTTTTCAAATAGAATCTAAGATTCTGGTCTCCTACAACTCCCAACAAACAAATTTTTAGAGCACTCTAGATTCCCTGCATAAGATAGAATCCAAAAGATTTCGGCCTCTTATATCTTGCAACAGATATTTTTCACATTAAAGCTCATATAAATTAATCAATATAACACGTAATTCATTGCATATGAAACTGAAAGTATTTTTTAATTTCTAAAATTGCTATAATTGCACACAATTGAACATAGTATTGAGGGAAAATATACTATTTCAAAATTTTACTAAATTATCAAGAATCTTACAAAATAGTGTTTTAAGACTCTAATTATAATACAATATTATTTTTCATAGTACAAATTATTTTTATTCAATAAAAATGTATAAATTCTAAAACTAATGGAGTAAAATTTCCCAAAAAATTGTTTAACTATTCAAAACTGATGTCTCTATAGCATATAAAAATTTATACAGTGAAAGTTTTATCAGTGTAAAGCTATATTTGTTTTTAGATAATGAAAATATAAACTTCATAAAAAAATTTGGGAAAATTATATATTTTTGAAAATTTAGATAGAAATAGTGTGACCTACCTTAATATGAACAACTTTTAGAACTGAGCCAACAATAAATGACAAACTGAAGCAGCTCAAATCCTCTTTTCTTATTTGAATCATGTTCGAACATTGACGAAATTTTTTTTCGAATAAGAAATATTAATATTTGATTCGAATTAAATTCAAATAATGCTTGATCATGGATTGAAATTTTTATGGCATGTGTTCTCATTTTTTAATCAAAATTAAATTTGATCACCATGGAATTAAAATTGCATTCTATAGTTTATTAGATAGGGAAACAATTAATATTCACTTCTGTTAGAATAATGTTTGATCATAAAATCAATGTTTTTATAGCTTCTGATCTCAATTTTGATCAAATTTTATTATTCAAATCAATTTTAAGTACTAAGGATCTAAGTCATGTTATTTGTTTGAACTAAACTTTCTAGCTTATTTCTTTCATTTTATTCATCATGAGGCATATCAAATCAAATTTCTCCCATTAAAGCACTTTGATTTTATAATTTAGAAAAGAACAAAAAACTAGTTTTTTTTTTTATCTTTTCCAGGTTAAGATAAATTATAATCGACAAAAAATGGGGCCAATAATAGCTAATTTAATGGGAAAAATATTTGTTATGATATCTTCTTATCATATTTTGCTGGATTCAATATAAGTTGTTTATAAATTATTATTAATTTAAAATAAAATTTAGGACTTATAGTATATTGTAATTATTTTTTATGGGGGCATTTATTTATAATTTTTTTTTCTAATTTGATTGATTAAATTTTTAAAAATATAATTAAAATTATTTTTTGGCCATTCAACTTGAAAAATATAAAAGAAAAAAAAGACCATTGGCCAGGGCTCCGTGACGTCATGAACCGAGCGGCAGAAAATGCCTGTCCAACGAGGTTTCGCCTCGCTTTGCATCTGCAATAAATATGAACCCCACACCTAATCATCTCCCGCATCTTATCGGCCTCGCCAAAAGCTTGGTTCAGTTCTAAAGCCTGCTTAAGATTTCCCCTCGAGCCTCTTTCTCTCTCTTCTCCACGATCGTCGATCGCGCTGTGTTTTTTCGGCGATCGGATTGGCCGCCGCCGCCGATGGCTTTCCTCGATTACTGTTGGCAGGTAATGCACTTCTTCTCCTCTCCGTTTACGAGAACCCTAATAATGCTTGTCAGATCCGTGGTTGTTTGGTTTGATATTGGAGTTTTTCGCGATGAGTGTTTTTTGTTGAATCCGTCTTGGATGCTGAAGCTTCTGTGCGGCTGTGCATTGGAGGAATCTTGGTTTGATTTAATAAATTCGGGTTTGTAGTTGTGGCTTCTGTTTAGTGGCGATTGGTTGAAGTGGTGGTGTTGGATGTGAGGAACTGTAGCTTTGGATGGGTGGTTGCTGATATGGACAAGGTTGACTGCAAAAGTGAGGGCATGGCTTGAAGTCATTAATGGAAATAGAAGGTTGTGGTACTGGTTGTTGTGAAACGCTGGAGCATGAGCAATAATTGCTGGGATTATGCGTTGGAAACATTTTTGATTTGGGAGCTGCTTGTACTTGCAAGGGCTTCTGAAATTAAATTATTTTTTTGACATTTTGTTGCAATGTTTGTTGTTTAGTGGTTTACACAAGGAATGCATTGCAATTAATTTGGACTAAACCTTTCTTAAGGGAATCATAATTTCATGATATTTTCTAGAACTCTTTTTTTTTGGCTGTGATTTGAACATCTGAACTCAACAATATCACGTGACCAAGAGGCTGGTGTTTTTATTTTTCCTAAGAATTATTTCAGTCCGGTGTTTTATGTTGGAGTTATATGTAATTAGGCTGCTAACATATATAACAAGCACGAAGCATCAATTCTTTTTTCATGTTATTTATATCAAGGGCATGTTGGAAAATTTCTATATGTGGGCCCATTAAATATATACATATAAATAAGATATTATACATTAGTAGCTATCTAAAAATAAGCCAATTAAATTCGTGATCTATTTAAGAATTAAGTTATTATTTGGCTTATGTGACATCTCAATTAAATTTATATGAAATTAAATATTGTGTAGAGGCCAAGTATTTGTTTTTATTTTAATGATGGGTTGAAATAAAATAAATACATTTAAAATATAAATGGGTTCTGGTCCCCAATTTAAGCGGAGTAGTTCTCATTTCCCATCTTGAGTGAAAAGAAGGGGTGTCACGCATTTTTGGAGAATGTCGCTTCAAAGTGGAAGACCGAAAACCTCAATTATGCATTTCAATGGATTCATGTATGCTTACAATAATTTTTTCGATGATTTGACATGCATTTCGGAGTCAATGAAATTATTTTTCGTCTCCATTAAATCTTACAAGTGGTATCAGAGTCTGATTGTCATGTTGAATCAATGAAAAAATAGTTTTCACTAATCATTTAATTGATTGTTTGAGTTTTTCGATCAAAAGGAATCTTCGTTTGAGATTTTTTCATTAAAAAAAAAAGATTTCTCTACGTAAATTAATTGTCAAAAATTTTAAAACTATTTTGTTTAGGAATTTAAGTCATTTTTGAGAAATTCAGAATTATATATATGAATTTCAAAGCTTTAATGATAATAGTGATTCAGTCGTTTGTTAATTCTTCATTGTTCATTGTTTTCATCTAAATCCATTGAAGACGATGAATTGATAGTTTCTTTTTTTTTTTCGGATTTGCGTTTAACGTAATATGAAAAGACATACCAATTGGTTATCTTTTGATTAAAGTTATATAATAATAATCGTGCAAAGTATTACAGCTTTGTTTTTTTTTTTTAATTCAAATTGCATCTCCTCTATCCAAACGTCACAACCATTGAAAATTTATCGCTAGTGTGAAAGGTTGTATTAATACCTTTTGAGTTTAGCTGTTTGGAGTTGGTTCATGTCATGAATTATGATTAACCTCGAAATCGATGCTTTGTGAAATCATTTAATTATTGCTTGTTTAGAGTTACTATTCAATAATTCTATTTTATAACTAAAGTTTTCATCATTTGAGAAGTTTGATATGCTTGCTTCATTAAATTTAAAGCAAATCGTGAAATTTTCATATAGATAAATTTTGATAAATATATCAATTAATTTATTGATAAAATATATTTATCAATTAACTATTTATGATAGCCTACGACGCACAAATAAAGGGAAGGGCAATCTTGCTAGGAATCTTCTCATTTCCTTGCTTCTTAATTAAGACCTTGAAGAAAATTGAAAGAATTTTAAAGTTACTGATACTTTGAATGAATGAAAACTCACATTGAGATCCCTTTATTAGCTTGAGCTGATGATACTTTGGGAATTAAGAGAGCTGAATTTGGTAGTTCCAAATTAACTTTAATTGTTATGCTAAGGATCTGGCCTCCAGGCATTCTAGAATTTGCCGCTCTTGCTAAGATAGCGGTAGCCTTAGCTATGTGCTTGCATCCTTCGCTTGAAATGATCCATCCACCATTGCAGCCTCAAGATTCTTGCTGCTCTAGTTTGATGATTGATGCATATCTTTTTGTTAAGAACTGCATGGCCACGATAGATTTGGGTTTGACTCGGACTGACTTCCCTAGGTTGAAGTTGGGTAGATTTATCCAAGCTTATTTACCCCAAACTTCTTCTCTCTTTGTTTGAACCTAGCGAACATATGGGGCTTCAATTTCCTCTATTGTTTGAGGCAGTTACAAGTGATAGTCGATGATCTTAACCCTAGCTGGAGGCGGATGAAGTTGTTGGAAAGTCTTTGGTAGTGGTGGCATTGAGTGGGGCTGGTCCTTGACTTCCCCCCATATCATACATAAGCAAATTTGGTGTGGGGAGGGTAACTTTCCCTGCGGTTTATTTAAGGAGCCATAATGGTGGTAAAGTTCATCATAATTGTCAGAAAATAAGTTTGGGCACAACGATTGTGTTCATAATTGCTCCTATTGCAGGATATGGAAAACACAAGCCCAATGCTTCGATTGCATCACAATCTCATTTCTTATAAGCGATGATGATTGCATGCATGGTCACCTCTGAGAATGATTATGATAGCTGGAAATTGTTTGGGCACTTTTCCTATGCTTGCCTTTTCACATGGGTTGCCATCTATGAATGATTAACTCGAAAACAAAATCACGCCATTGGAGATGAACTAGTGTCCAAAAAGATTATATTTGAAAGCCTGCAATGTGTCACTGTTGAACTTGATTAACTTGTAATTGCCTTTTTACAGGGCACAATGAAGAAAAAAGATTCCTGTAGACGACCCCACATAGTGGGATAAAGACTTTATCTTGTTGTTGTTATTAATTACATCCTTGCTTTTTGCTATTTACTGTAGAGTTACCATTAGCTTGAATGTTATGTAATTGGATAATTTACCATTATTCTTTCCATTTGCAGTTTCTAATCACTCATTTCAGTGACTTTCAATTGGCTACATTTGGTTCCTTCATTATTCATGAAAGTGTGTTCTTCCTTTCTGGACTTCCTTCTATATGTTTTGAGAGGACAGGACTTTTCAGCAAATACAAAATTCAGGTTGTTTACAACTTTTAACCTTTTTGTTTCAGCTTTGAAAAGAACATTATTATCTTTTGTTCTTGTGTACTGGTTTTTTTTAAGTGCTTGTATGTATTCATTTTGTATGTGAGCAACTCCATGCATTTTCCTTGCAGACAGAGGTTGCAATTTTCCATGTTGTATTGCTTGCTTGGGATACGTTTCATCTTAACCAACTGTAATTATTTTTATAGCTTCATATGCATTTCTGACTTGTTTCCGTGTATGGATTTGGTAGGAAAAATTTTCAAGGATGATTTTGATTGTCCATGACTAGATCTTTTGATATAAGTTATTGTTGGTGTCAGTTGCATTCCTCCTTTCAGCTATGGGTCACTGGATATCCTGTTACATGGTGGCTGGCTGCAATTCAATAGCAACTTTTATTAGTAAAAGCCTAAAATAAACCCCATGACTATTAGTAAATATCTAATTTAGTCCTAGACTTTCATAATGACTCAATATAATCCCCGACCATTAGAAAATATCTTAATTTGATCACAATGTTAAAAGTAATAGTTGAAGTTAATTCTAACAATTAAATGTGAGTGCATTTTGGGTATTAGGGTGTATGTGAGATTATATTATTATTTTATATATTTTTTCATTTGTCATATTAAAATAAATTAAAAAATGATAATGAAAGTTAACTAACTAAATAACAAGACTGAATAATTAACAAAATGTAAATCATATAGCCCTTTATTATAAAAAGTGTCATCTTTGATTACAAAACTCCAAAATACTTTATAAAAAATGGTATCATCTTTATGAACCCTTCAGAATGGGATAGCCCGTCTATAAAATCCATGGAGACATCCTCCCACACCTAATCTGGTAGAGCCAAGGGTTGAAATAATCCCCATGAAGCCATAGTCATATACTTATTCCTCTGACGTACCTTACAATTGGCTACCATCCCCACCACATCTCTGTGCATCCCTTTCCAATACAACTCTACTGCTAGTCTTCTGCATCCACTAGTGACCCCGAACAACGCTCCTATGAAACTCATGCAGTAGGTGTGGAATATGTCTGACGTTCTAGGCATCACAAATCTCTTATGGTACAATAGAGCCTCTCCATCCTTTAGTAAAATTGCCCTAATCCTCCCCAGCTCCTCATCCCACATTCTCCTCCTTAATGGCCCTCCAATCCAACATTAGTGGTATCAACATGACCATGCCCTGTAGCTCTCCCATACATCTGGACAAGGCATCCACCGCCTTCTTCTCTATCCTGGGTCTATACTGGATTTCAAAATCATATTCCAATAACTTTGACAACCATCTATGGTGCTCCTTTGTTACCATCCTCTGCTTCAACAAGAACGTCAGGCTCCACTGGTTCGTGCTGATAATCAAATGTCAACCTAACAAGTAAGGTCGCCACTTCTGGATGTTTAGCATAATAACCATTATCTCTCTCGTAGACTGACTTTAGGTTGACTCTAGTTGTCAAGACCTAGCTGAAGTAAGCAATGGGTCGTTGGCTTCCGCATGAGTACTGCTGCCAATCCATACCCTGATGCGTTCATCTCTACTACAAAAACCTTATTGAAATCTGGTAGGGTCAAGATCGGTACAGTGATCATGGCCTTCTTCAATCTCTTAAAAGCTGTTGTGCTCATTTGCCCCCACAAAAAGCTATCTTTCTTCAACTGTTCTGTCAGTGGCCACGTGATGGTGCTATAGCCCTCACGAACCTCCTGAAGTATTATATCAGCCTTAGAAAACTCTTTAGCTCCCTCAGATTCTTTAGTTAGCATTGCCTCAATCTTAGTCTGATCAGCAGCCACACCCTCCCGAGATATTACATGTCCTAAGTACTCAACACTGGCTTGTGTAAAGCAATATTTCTTCAAATTGGCCCTCAGTTGTTGCTCTTGTAACACCTCTAGGATCGTCCTCAAATGCTCCCAATGTTCCTCATTTGACCTGCTATACATTAGGATATTGTCAAAGAAAACCATCATAAATCTCCTTAGATATGGTCGGAACATTCTGTTCATAAGTGACTGGAATGTAGCTAGGGCATTAATGAGGACAAAAGGCATCACAAGAACTCATAATGCCCCTCATTAGTTTTGAAAGTAGTATTCAGCATGTCCTCCCCTTTCATTCGAATTTGATGGTATCTAGAATTTAGATCTATATTGGTGAAGATAACTGCCCCACACAGCTTATCCAATAGCTCATCTATCACTGGGATGGGAAACTTGTCTAGCATAGTCTCCTCATTCAAAGCCCTATAGTCCACACAAAACTTCCAACTCTCGTCCTTTTTGTAAGATTGGGTTAGAAAAAGGCTTACACTAGGCTTGATAATCCCTGCATCCAGTATTTATTTGATCAATTTCTCAATTTCTCAATTTCATCCTTCTGAAATTGAGGGTAGTGATATGACCTAACACTGATGGGTGACACCCCTTCCCTCAGAGTGATGGCATGCTCCTGCTCCCTTAGTGGTGGCAATCTTTAAGGTGGCTGAAAGACCTCATTGAATTGCTATATCAGCAACTGTACTGAAAAAGAAATGTCTCCCCCTTCTCCAATCTGATTCCTTCTAATCTCTATAGCTCCACCAGAAAACCTCCCCACCTCCTGTATGCTTCTTACCAGGATTTTGAGGGACACCATGGCTTTGGATAACCCCTCATCTCCCCTGATCACTTCTCTTCTCCCCTTCACCACCAGCTCCATGGTCAATGCTACCTAGTTAACCTTGGTATTTCACAAGGCTTACAACCACTTCATCCCCAGGATGACATCAGTGCTGTCTAAATCCAATGGGATGAAATCCTCCCTTACCTGAACCCCCTGTATGGTCAGCACTATTCCCCTATAGATGTCCTTGTTTATCTCCACCTTCCCCATGCCCATCATCACTCTATAGCACCCTGTATCCACCAATGTCACCCTCAATTAGTCTATGACCTGATTGAAGATGAAATTGTGGGTAGCCCCACTGTCAATCAACACTACTACCTCCCGGTCTGCTATTTTTCCCTTCACCTTCATGGTATGACTCAGGATGATTCCTACCACTGAGTTCAGGGAGACTTCTGCCACGTCTATATGCAGCTTGTCGTCCTCCTCTACCCATGTCTCACTCCCACCTCCCTCCTTAGCTTCATCGTCATCACAGACGGTGAGAACCTGAAGAGTTTGGTTCCTACATCTGTGCCCCGGAGTATACTTCTCATCACATCAGAAGCATAATCCCTTCTCCCTCTTTTCCCACACTTCCCTCTCAGTCATCTTTTTGATGTTTCCCCCACTTCCATCTCCTACAGGCCTCTCCCTTAGGGTCTCATGAAGGTTGCCGCCCCTTGGGTGCTAAGAAAGTGGTAGTCATCCTGAACTGCCATCTCTGGCTCCCCTCTGCTGGTACTTCTGATCCTCCACCAGCTAAGCTAGCTCCATAGTCTCTCCCAATTCATGAGGCCTCATGACTCTCACTATTGCCCAAATCTCTGATTTGAGTCTTTTCATGAAATTTTCCTCCATAATTGTCTCAGACAACTAATATAGTTGGCGAAGAATTGCTCATAGAAGCCCCCTCTCTTATTGGCTCGGAAATGTTCTAATAAGCACTCTTTGAACTCCCTCCAACTCCATATAGGCCGCCTCATGTCTCTCCACTGGTACCAAGACAACACCTTCCTTTCCAAACATAGGCGAAATATCTCCTCATAAATCTATCCGTGTGCATCCTCTCTCTCAAAGATAGACATCTTCAACTTCCTTACCTTCGGATCCCCTCCATTTTCCCATAGTTTCTCCTTCCCTAAGTGGGTGGTCCCCCCCCCTCCCAGGTGTCCCAATCATCACTTCCACGTTTATACCCAAACCCTTCTTTGATTTCCCCTCTCCTTCCTTCAAAATCAGCGCCACTTTGCTCATACCCCACATATACACGTCTCTCCCCATACCTTCCATCTCTCTCCTCTCTCTGGAAAGGTTTCAGATGGGATATTCTCCCTTCTCCCTCTACAATCTCCACATCATTTTCATCCCTACGAATTTTAGAATTCGTGCTTCTTCCCACCTGCACTCTTGCCTCCGATGCTGCTGTTTGGTTTTGAAGATCCCATATCTTCTTCACCATATCTTAGAGATTCGAGAATTTGCCTTCCATGGAGGAAATTATATCCTCCACTGTCGCCTTGATTTGATACATCTCCCCCTCAGGACGTTCTTCCAAAGCATCCACCTTCTTGGCCGCCATCGATACTCGGATCTTTATCATACTCAAAATTCCGGATTTTGACCCCAAAAACAGCATAAATAACGGTTCAAAATAGAAAAACAACTGCAGGAAACTACCAAAATATCCTGTAAACCTCTCTGATGTCAATTTGATAGGAAACACTTGTAGAACATCGGTGTTTCTTACCAATATTGAGATTTCAACGATCTTCCACCAAGATACTCCAAACAAATCGAGCAAAATTACGAGAAAACTCATAATAATGGATGAAACAGAAGGAAAATACCAAGATACAATTGATCCTCGATTCGAGAGGAGGATCGATCTCTCCCAAATCTCTAGCGTCGCTGGGCTTAAATCTCTAGCGTTGCTAGAGCCCAAGACGTCGAAGCCTCCCACAGAAAATTCAGCAACATAGATGATAACCCCAACCCTAATGCAAAAGTTCTACTTAAAGCCAACAAAAAAGTAACTCCAAAGGACTAAACATCCCTCCCTAATTCAAAATTCCCCCCAGCCGCCCCCTCTCTTTCTCTCTCTCTTCATTAGGCAGTGGACCCCCCACCCCCCTCACCAAAGCTGTGGGCTTTGAACCAGGCAGAACAGTAGGCTTTCGCCTGTTGTAATGCAGGGGCCGGTTGGATTAGTCCATCCTGGACTATTCTATTATGCTCCCCTTGCATTATAGTAATTTGGTAATTTTCATCATCAGCTTTCAGTCCAATGTAGCTCTCAATGTTGTACAATGTGGGCTTCGAAAATTCGGCCCCGACCTCCCCCGCCTGCTTTTCTTCGGGGGAGTTTTAATGGATCAAGTTCCGGGGTATATTTTGGGAAGGCAGATGGGTTTGTAGATAAGGCACTACCTAGAGATTTCACCCTCATTTTGCGAGGACTTCATGATCTGAGTTCTGGTTTCCTATAGGCGCAAGCCCTTATAGTTAATTACCCATCTCGGTAATTTGAGATAACTTTCAATTAAGGCTAGTCATCAGTGAATACGTCGTATCCGTAGATACGCGGTATCCGGCATATAGTAGCAGCATGGGCGTAAGGAATTTGGGAATTTGAAGATTTGATATTTAAAATTAGAAAATTCACCATCTTGCACTTAAAGTGATGGTGGGGGAATGGATAATGGACCCGATCAAGATCTCATGGTTATGTCGTCCTGGGCCATTGTGATCCCTGGTCTACTTAGTCAGAGGAGGTAGTCAACCCAACCTGACAGAAGGATCCTATTCGACATCCATGAGTTTCTTCGTCCAAGGGGACCTTGTACATGTAGTACTCTAGAGATATTTCTCTATTTTAACCACCACAATTAAACTAAGATCACTGAACCTTTTTTTGTGTTAACCAAAATCTCTTAACCTTTTCCTGTGTAAATGTGAATTACAAGTTTCATTGAATCAACTACCTTTTCCTTCTTGTTGCAGCTTCTTTACCTGAGCCGATCTGCATTTACTTGCTGAAGATCTTTTCTGAAATTTGTATCCTAAATTTCTGTTAGTGTAAAATTACATATTTCCTCTGCTATGTTATCGTTGTTTTTCTTCATTATATTAGCCAGCATTAGGCCATCCAATTATTTCGATAGGTATTCTAGAATTTTTTACTTGTAAAAGATGCTCATATTTTCATTTTCTAAGTATAACCGTTGGTAAGTTAATTTTTTCAAGATTTTTTTTGTAAATCATGCTAATTTTGCGATTGAGTCCTCAATGCACTTCATTGGCATACATGGTTTCTATGCTTTTTTTTTTTAATTTATTTGGGTGGGAAGGTGCTCATGGTTCCGTTATTTCATCGTGTTTTGTGCTAGCTTTATAGAATATTTCAATTTAATGGAAATGATGTTGGTCGGTGATATAAATGAATCATCTCTTGTTAATATGCACGTCTGACATGATGATATGGGCTTTTTTGCAGAGAAAGAATAACACCCCTGATGCTCAGGAGAAATGCATCTTGCGTCTGGTCCTGTATCATTTATGCGTGAATTTACCTGTTATGATATTTTCTTACCCTGTTTTTAGATGGATGGGCCTGAAAACTTCACTTCCACTTCCACACTGGTATTTTCATGCCTCTCTTGATGTAATTGAAGTTTCTTTTTGTTTAAATGTCTAATTTTCTTACTAGTGTATAAATTTGTCTTTTCTCTTGAGGCATATTTGCAAAATTACTTGAGAAACTTAACTTTTATGAGAGCTGAAAAAATGTGCTGTGAGCGGAGGAATGTGCCTGACATACAACGTGTTGTTGGTTTAGTTGACATACAATATTTTGTTGGTTTAGTTAGGATTGCCGGTTGGTCGTATATGTGCTTTGATTAATCAGTTGTGGTTCTGTAGGTATGTGATCTTATCGCAAGTTGTATTCTATTTCATTCTGGAGGACTTTGTGTTTTATTGGGGGCATAGGGTACTTCACACGAAATGGCTGTATAAGCATGTCCACAGTGTGCATCATGAGTAAGCTACTTGATTTGGTAGATTTTTCGTTTGATGTTATATAATTTTAGACCAGTGCTATTCTTAATGCACTAATTACTTCCAGATATGCTACACCATTTGGATTGACATCTGAGTATGCGCATCCTGCTGAAATTTTGTTCTTGGGCTTTGCCACCATAGTTGGCCCTGCTCTTACGGGGCCACATCTCTTTACTCTTTGGTTATGGATGGTATTGAGAGTGTTGGAGACCGTTGAAGCTCATTGTGGCTACCATTTCCCGTGGAGCCTTTCAAACTTTCTTCCTATATACGGAGGGTTAGTACTAATGGTTTGTTTTCCCTGATTACTTTTACAGTGCCCTACATGCACTATTCTAACATTGATTACGTATCTGTGCAGCGCTGAATTTCATGATTTTCACCATCGTGTTCTCTACACCAAATCAGGAAACTACTCTTCGACTTTCACTTACATGGACAGGTAATATGTGGCATTCTATTCATATAATCATGGTTGTGTGTTCTTCCTTGTTGCGTCTTGGAGTATTCGCGGCGGTAGAGAAATATAGTTTAATGTCTTAGTATTGCACGAAGATCCAGCACACAATTAGATAAGTGAGACAACGCTTCGGGTCCATGATTTGGACCCATTTGGGCTTGGATTGGGTTGATCTTGGTGTCGTTGAGTTCGTATTTCCGAGATGCTCAGTTTGACTATAAGTTCGCTGAAATCGGAGTTCGAGTGCTCTCGGAATTAATTTTGAAGTTTCCAACTAGCTTTTGCCTCGAGATTCGTGCCCGATCAAGCAAATTTTTGTGATGCCGTATCATTCCTTTTTTTTTTCTTTTGGGGTGATAGTGGGTGGGGTTTTAGTTTAGGGTGCGTATCAACTTTTATCCTTCGCTTCTACTTTGGATCATATCCATCCAGTTATTGTTGGATATCACCTTTCAAAATTCAATTCATGGTGCGTGCTGTTAATTATACTTCTAATTTTGTTCTGGGCGATCTCCATCTTGTGTTGTCATTCTCCTTTCAGTTAGCTGCTCATTCTTTACGTTCTGTGCTGCAATTTTTCTGCGTTCGTATTGTAGAATTTCTTTTTGCAGGTACTTTAATTGGTTAAAATTCTACTTTAGTTTTCTTTAGAAAGATGAGGCCTGTCCCACAATCTTTGCTATTTGTAGAAGTGCTTTTAATTCTCTTTTTTTTCTATTTCTTTCAATTTTTGTTGTTTCCATCACAACCAATATCCAAACTACTTGGATTTGGTAGGGCTGCAAACGAATCGAGCCGAGCCGAGTATGTGAGTGCTCATGTTTGTGTTCATTTAGCATCTGCTTGTTCAAGTTTGGTTTATGTTTGTTCGAGCTTTATTGTTTGTGTTCATGTTTGGTTCATTTAAATTAATGAGTGTTCAAGTTCGGTTCATTGTCAGTTCATGTTAGTTTGTTTAGTGCTTGTTGAGCTTTAAACAAACAAACATGAACGAGCTATAAACGAGCTCTACTTTTAGATGTTCATTAACTTAACAAACGAGCTTTATCGAGCTTCCTAACAAACGATTACATCGAGCATGTTCTGAACACATTTAATGAATTTTTTTAAACTATCAAACAAACACGTTCGTGAACATATCTATGAACAAACACATTTATAGTAAAAGCAATTACCTATGTAAAAAAGACAATAATTTATAAGCAAATCCCATCTTCACATAATTTTCCTAACAACAACATTAATAAAGGCAATGATTTATAAATAAATAGTCATATGAAGCTACAATTACTTTGACAACAAGTTAAGTAATATCTGATACCTGCAACCAAGGTTTAAAATTGCGTAACTGCGCCTCGAGGCGGTTTTCGTCCGTGAGGCCAGGCGTAAGCCTCGAGGCGGTCTGAGGCGTAAGCCTCACGAACACAGAATTGCGTAAATGAAAAATTAAGGATTTTAGCAGGAAAATAATAGCAATAATGGAAAATAAGAAAGTAGATGCAATAAAATTATGTCCCAAAGTACAAAATCACAAAATATCAGTTTAACAAAACTCCCAAAATACAAAAAACATATAAAATGAAGTCATGTCAGACTCCTATCAAACTCCTACTCTTCATGTCAGACCATCCATCTGACATTATAGTCACACCTGTCTCAATCCATGTCCTTTTAATCTCACCAATGGTTCGCTCGGTGTTCTGCAACTCCTCCTTTAAAATCCAAGTGCGCAACTCATACATAGAAGGTGCTTTTAACCCTCTTCCATACAATCCTACAGACCGCATCATACTGAAGTAGGCAGGCGATGTAGCAACATTAAAAGGTATTGCATTTTCAAAAAAAAAAACCTCCCAATGTCCATGCAAACCTGTCGCCGCCCCTCTCTAGTACCACCTGCAGGGTCTAATTAAAATTTGCTTTTGTATATCTTGTCATTCATTTGAAATGATTTTGCATTCAAACAACTTATCTAAATATAATAACCCATCAACAAAAGATATATGATCAATTTTATCATCATAAATGAACACCTTAGTTTTAATTTTTATTATTATATCATCATTTATGCCAAAACCTTGGCTTCTATGATTTTTATAAGCATTTGTTAAATATCTTGACTTGTCTTTTAATAGAATTAGCATTCAAATGAATAGGTACATCATTATTATTGGTATTTATTATAGGCTTACATGTATGAACTTTATTTCCTGATGCGTTAATTCGTGCATTAACTATGTTAAGGTCATCTTATAAATGGTTTTCTTTTTCAATAATTCAACCAATTTATTTTAGAATCTTGTCATAATGCAATCCCTTCGATGATGTATCAAGTTACCCTGATAAATAGCCTCTCTTCTAAGTGACATATTAACGTAACTTAAAAACTGATGTCAGTTTGATGTATGACAACTCAGGGTTATAACTAATATACTGTGTTGTATGAATTCTTGTAAGGGAACTTAAGAATTCATAGATCATAACTTACTAAATATTTCAAGAACTAGCTTATTTTTATATAAACAATAAACACAAGAATTATAACTCGAATGACAATAACATGATCGAGTAAATCTAAAGCTATCAATAAAAAAATTAATCACGTAAAATCAGTAAGCAATTTTTATTTAGTTTGCACAAATAGAATTTCAATTTGATCAAACTTGAATGAAATTAAGATCACAAATAGACCAATATCAAATTATGTAGATGAAATAGGAACAAAGAATGAAAGTACTAAAAAAAAGAAAAAATCATGCCTCCTGCTAGTACAAGGAGATGACATTCCTATGAATTAGGCTGTTGCATTTGTACAACAATACTTAAGGAATCACACATTCAATATAAGATTGAAAATTGAAAAGAAAATTTAATTTAATCACGTATTTTATGACATATATTTATGGCATATCACGTTCTTGCAAAAATATATGCATATAATGCAAATTGTTGTGTTTGTCTGGTACGATAATTTTTGCTAATGTTTTGTATCTCCCAATGTTTAAAATTGCTTATTCGGGTATTGAGATGTTTTTCATTCGTGAGGCGAGGCGTAAGCCTCAAGGCGTTTTGAGGCGTAAGCCTCAAAATCAAAAGATTGCGTAAACATAAAATGATAAATTTTTTATATACTAATGAGTGAATAATATAAAACATAAAAAAAGCATAAGATATGAAGTGAAATCAAAATATCTCAATAATAAGACAACATGAAATATAGTTCAACTCAAAATTCTATCTTTTCCAAATCCCAGTATTCTTTTCATTAACATATAATTCCAATTTTAAAAAATAAATAGCAATGACATATCACATAAGAACTCATAAGTCATCAGCACTGTCATCACTAAGGGGTTCTTCATTTGAATCATCATTATGGTGAACTGCTCTCTTCCCTTCCTCCTCTCCTATAGAGTCGAATGTCGGGCATTTACTTCAAGATTTATGTAAGTTTTAATATATATATATATAGCGTGAGGCGAGGCGGGCCTTAACCAAGTTGAGGCGCAAGCCTCATAAAAAAAACTCGAGGCGTAAGCATCGAGACGTTTTTTACTGGAATTGCGCAAAGGCGGGCCTCAAGGCGAGCCTCATATTGTGCAATTTTAAACCATGATTGTATGCATGCAATATATGCATATATGATGTACAAATTATGAACACTAATTTGTAAAGCCCCTCTTTGCTTTGCGTTTTGCATATTGAAGCAAAAAGGAGCCCTTGTGCATTTCATTCTGCTTGGCATTTTGTAAACACTGGACTTGGGTTTATATTTTTCTATTTGAAGAAATTTGAACAATTTCAAATTTATTGTGATTTATGTTGTAATAAAGTAGAAATTTATCCATTTTCTAAAACAATGAATATTTTTAAATTTTAGTTGTTAACATTTTTAAGTTTAATATATCTTTAGCTTGTTCTTGTTCACAACTGCAGTTTTCATTTAAATATCTTAGAAGTTTCTTAAAATTAATAAAATAATATAGAAGCAGCCATGTAAAGAAATAGTATTTACTTTGAGGCTAAATCCATGGTGGGAGAACCAACTTTCCTAGAGCCTCTAGAACCGCCAATAGATGCTTTTCTTCTAATGTTGGGAGGGCCCCTTAACCTTGGTGCCTTGTTTACTGTCCATATAGGGTGTGGTGGGAATATTTAATATTTCTTGATAAGGAAAAAACCTCTATGGACTTAAAAAAAAAATGTCAAAGTACCTTATTTTCTCATTTTCGTTGAAAATGAAACCACAACTTTGTTGGGTTGTCCAAACATGATTCATGTAAGAACTCGTCACACTCTCACCTTTGATGAAGGAAAAAAGAATGGATGGTGTACAAAACTCTTTGACCTTTGTTCATTCTCAAAATAATGGGCCTCATCTATTAAATGATCAACTTGCAACTCGCATGATTCCCAATGAAGTCCTTTATTTGAATACCCTTCATGAAGATCTCTTAGTGAATTGTACGAATGATGGACCCATTCATTTGAACGATCATCCTCCAAAAAGTTGTCTACAATAATGTAAAAAAACCATAAAGATAATTACTTCATCCTAGTGTAGCTGATCTGACCTTGCTAATCATCAAGTAATGTGTGATGGTTGTTGATGTTGACCCAGTTGATGGATTGGTTGAGCCGGTCCATTCACTACAGCCGGCCCAAAACAGATCTGGCTCAACCCAGTAGGCGGGCGGCTCAGAACAAGGGTGGGAAGGCCAGACGGTCAAGGGTGTGGGCCCAAGTGAGGGGGGCGGTTGCCAGGTTGGAAAGGGAGGAGAATTAACGGAGTGGATCACTTGTCAAAGGAGAACGTAGGGGGGAAAACATGAAGGAGTAAATTCAAATTTTGGGGGGAAAATAGGGAGAGTTTTATTAGGCCCAAAGCAGGGTTGACTGTTGTGAATGGACCGGCTCAACCTGTCCATCACAAGTCAACCTATACAAATGGTTGTGGTTTTGTAATTAATTTTCATCATCTCTTTTTGGTGCACTCCAATGACACAATGTTAGCTAATTGACATTATGCTAATGATTAATGCCACTTCAACGGTCAATATTGACCAAACCTGACAGTGTTGCTAAAGCGTCCTTGCATTTTTTTGCATTACTCAAATTACTCTTAATAAATAATGAGATGCTCTTAGGTATTGTTTTAACCCAAAAATTTTAAAAAATCTTCAAAATTCACACAAAATTATGTTAAGGATTCCAAGTCATATCCATTCCATTCTAGGTGGGGTTAAGTACAAAATCTGCATTTCTTTACTTGTAAAATTTTTAAAATTATAAAAAACGGGTAGATATAATCAAAACACTTAATACTAATCAAGTCAGATCATTTGCCTCCTAGAGGCATAATTGAGATGATATATGCCCTATAAGCGTCTAAACACAATAAAATTCATGGATGCCACAACATGAAAGGGACGGGCAGGGTGGGTAACTTTGAAATCATTACCCAGTCACACTCCCCTTGCGATTGAGTGCTACCTAAAGAAATGTTATAATGGTGGCACACCAAGTCTTCCAAGACTTTGTCAATCCAATGAAGTATTATTTGAAAAATAAATTTATTTTGTTGTAATATTTGTCCTTGAAAAAAGATTTGGTGCTTCGCAAAAGCCTTGCACAAAAAAAAAAATAACAATGTGGCTCTTGCTCTTGTTTTGCCATAGAATTTGACTTGAAAGTTTGAGAATGGGGTTTGATGTTGGCGAATGACAATTGGATTCAACTCCTTAATTTGCCCCAATGAGGGAATATTGAGGGGATATTCAGTTCCCAAGTTTTCTTAAAATTTATAATCAAATTCAAATAAAATTTATTAAGTTTAAGCTTGAAAATTTATTTATTGGATGATTGATTGTACAATCTATGATTATATATACTACCAATTTAAATTCATAAAAAATTACAATAATTGTTCTAACAAGTCCTAGATACTATGTATTTGGGTCGTAGGCTGTAACAATTTTAATTATGGTTCGAAAGATCTTTTATTAGCCATTCTTGTACAAATAATATAATTGATGCTGCACAAAGCCTATATAGCTGTTAAATTATTTAATAATTAACTTTTCTCATAATAATATTATAGAGATGTAAGCTGAAGAACACATATCCAAGAGGATTCCCGATGAGGAGGATTGGGATAGCCTGGAAGCTCTCCTTAGCAAGGCACATGATATTTCAACAAAAATAGAAGGGCACGCAGAAATATTTTAACACAAATATGATTTAAAAAATAATAAATGAAAATAAAAGCTCACTTAGATGCAAAGTAATCAGATTTAGAAAGTAGATAACCATCCATTATAGAAACTAGAAGCAAGAAGCAATACATTACCATAGTAAACAAAAAAAAAGTTATGAAATTTGTACCTGTTAAAATACATGTTTAGAGTTGCATGAACCTAAAACTTTTGGTATTCCCGATCCTTGATAGATTTGCAATGACATCTCGTCGCTTGAGCATCACCACCCCTCCTCTCAAGGCCACGATTTTTTTTTTTTTTTTGAACTCGCACAAGCATATTCTCACAAAAAATAAATAAATTTAATATATTTTTAAGCATACCTTGCATTGAGGGTGTCAATCCCAATAGATAGGGTACTAAAGACAAAAAAAATGAATACATGATGTGAGGCTAAAGGTTTCTTATGAAAAATATAAATTTATTCTATTTGTATGCCATCAACTGGTCTTAGTTGGGATCCTATGGTTATGTGGAGGGCTCTTCGAGAAAAAAAAATAAAAAAGTTTAATGATGATGGTTATGCTGTAAAGGCAGTTGATTGTCTGGATTGGTGTGAGGTAGGCTAATTTAGTGATTGATTGTTATATTATTTCAATGTATGATGCCATGTTCTCAGCTTAGTAATTTTTATGTTTTCCAAAATTGTTATTTTATTAGTTAATTGGATTATCCTTCATGTACCGAAACACAGAATTTACTCCGTTTCATCTTGTTATTGCATCTTTTGCTATTTTTGACGTAAATCACTATTGCGTCTGATTTTAGGTAACGTGGTAAAATTTATTCCTGATTTGTTTTTGTTTGTTGGATCGTGTAAGAATACATGATTCTTTAAAAAAAAAAAAAAAAAAAGAATACATGATGTGTGGCTAAAGGTCTCTTATGAAAAATATAAATTTATTCTATATGTATGCCATGAAAAAGATTATAATTTTTCATCAAGATACAATCCGATCTGGCATGACATGTGAACTGGAGATCTATAGATCTTTCTCTTAGCTTTCTAAAGGCCAAAGATTGTCAAAAATGGGATTCAAAGGGAAACAAATATGGACAAAATATTGAGGCTGCGCAAATGAGACCTGCTGCTACTGGAAAGAGAATCTTGTGTGCTGACTTGATGGACCTGCATGTGATAATTCATGGATTATATTGCGACAAACTCTACATCTACGCCCTGATATGATTGATAAATATAAATATTAAATCTAAATTCATCGGAGTTGCATTATTTCAAGTCATACAAGTTTGATGGAGATATGAGGGTTTATACTTGTTGTCTTAAGCGCAATATGGTGTGCTATGACAAGCAAATTAGCTTATTGATAGTGCAAGGGTTGGGTTTTATGATTTTCTGGCTTACTGTTAATTCTTTAATCGTTTGGAGCATTTTTCTGTTCTTTCTATGCATTATTTACGGCTGAGTACTGTTCTTGAAGTCATAATGTGCTTTTTTGGTGTGTGCGTATTCAATTTCACTGTACTTATCCTATGCCGCTATTCATGAGGAATAGCTCGTTCCTTTGTTGCTATTCCCCTGCTCATTTCTCTGTCCTCACCCCCAGAACTTGACAAAGTTTTTCCCCACTTGATTTATGTGACTGAATGCTTTCCGTACGGGATTGTGATACTACTGACATTATGAAATTAAATGTTATAAATGATAATTTTGAGGGCTTGTATTAGGGACATTTTTGTTTTGATAAAGTTTGTTTTTTTCCTGTATAAATAATTTATTATTAGTTTTTTTCTGGGTCATTTACGAATCTGTTCACTGTTTTCCAGCATAGAAATCTATATGGTTAGTTCCTTATCCTTATAAGATGTACATGGATCATTTGATCTCAATTACTTGAATCTGAATGCATTCCAGGATATTTGGCACTGATGGGGATTATCGGAAGCAGAAGGCCCTGCAGAGCCAAGAAGGGAAATCTCTATGAGAAAGAGGTACATTCTTTTTAGCATTATGCACTTTTCTGGGACATATTTTTGTTGCTAACTTACTTCAATATTGTAATCAGGGAATGTGCTTCTGTTCTAGTGTTATATAGCAATATTCTACTATAAGCTATCCATTGGAACGAATATATGTACAAGCAGCTATTGGTGTCGAGTGGACTGAAGATATTGGGTTATTGGCACACTGATTCTTTTTCTTGATCATTTTTGTGGTCTTCTGAATTGTGGAAGTTTCTATTGAATTCATCTGCGTGCTTGAGAGAGAGAGAGAGAGAGAGAGCTGCATTTTGCATAGACGATCATGCCTCAGCTTTTGATTCTGCCGTGTGATTTGCTTCTGAAATGCATTATGGTTATGCTACCTTGCTACAGTGCAGATGAACTGATATGCTGGTTTTTCCTCTTTTCATCAAGTTTAATTTTTTGTTCTTTTCGATTATATTTTATTGAATGTTGAACTTTGTTTGTGTATTCCTTTCATAGGCAAAAAAATATATTGCCTTTTAATAATCTATATTTTATGCTTATATATATATATATCCCAATCTATTTTGATACAATGGTGGATTAAAGCTGATTTTTGGATTTCGATCTTAGCTTACTTGTACCATCTTGAAGGTGGAGAGATTATTCTATGCGGACACCGGACGGGAGAACTGTCCGGTACCATTTGATACTGAGCGTGGTATGCTTTTGGGATGACATGGCGCATTTTTATTGGCACAGATTACTTTGTCTTGAAGGTGGGTCTCATGAAATTAATGTCGGGGTAACCTAAAGCATATGGCTGTGAGTGCATTCTGCATGATTGTTTTTCACGTAGAGCACTCACATTAGATTTGTGTTGTTCCTGACCTATTGGAGTTTTATTTGGAGGGATTTATTGCACGTCAACTACCTTAATATTATATAATTACATGATTCCTATTGTAGCTGATACTGTACAAATGTGGACTTTTTTTTTTTTTTTTTTTGAGTTTTGAGTCAATTAAAGATAAACTTACACATATTAAACATAAACATTGAACACAATATCTCTTAATTGATAGTCAAAATTTTTAACTAATAAATTAAGGTGAACTGTGTTTAAGCGTGGACATTTATTTAAGTGTATATTGTTAGGAACTTTAGTTGGAGCTAAAAAAAATCGTTCTAGCATGTCTGATTAAACCTGGGATAAAAAATGTTTACTGGAAACATATCTGATGATCGAACTCTATTATGAGGGGCTCATTTTGTACGCCTAGTGGCGGAAAAATTATTATGTGGGGAATTTAGACCCCAATAAAAATATGTCATGTCTGATACTGAGCGTAGTACTGAGCGGTATAGCAGTTCGGTGCCACTTAGTACCTAAGCATAAACAGGACGGTTCTCCCATCTGGTGTTCGCACAGCATAATCTCTCCCCTGTTCGGTGTTCGCACAGAATAATCTCTCCTAATGGCGAGGTTGTAAACTGAGGACAGGTCTTTATCTAATTGCTACGTGGTATTAATAGCAACAGAGGCCCTATCTTTTATAAGCGGGATGTGGCGAGCTTTCAGTTGCAGCTTCGAGGTGGAGTGCGGTGCAACAAACTTAACGTGAAGCCCACTTTGTGGGATCGGTGGGTTTCATTAGCCATCTATTATGCAAAGAATTTACATTACTTGAAAATTAATTTGATCAATCATTGATATTGCTGTAGTGTTTATATGTCAAATCATATCAAATATTTAAATATGAATTTTTTGGAATTGAATCTTAGATAATATAAATTTTATATTTAGTAAATTTATATTTGAAAATTGTGACTTGATGAGATAAACTAAATAATGCTGACAATAATTTTACTTTAGTTTAAATGGATTTTAATCAAGTAATTAAAAATAGTGAAAATTTTAAAAGATAATTCTATAGGGTCAAACATCCCTAAATGTTTGCATGCTTATAATAAAAAAATGTCTTGGTGATATGAATTTAGTGAGGTTAAGGTGAATTTTGAGAACATTAAGGCATTGTGATAGTAAAAAATGTCAATCAAAAGACCATGATGGATTAATTTAGATTGTTTAATGAAGTGTTTTTATTTTTGATAGAAATACTTAACCCTCTATAATTTTTAAATACCTAATGTTTCTACATATCAAGAGAGAATTGCAGATAAAAGAAATTTATAATTTTAAATTCTATAGCTGATCGACCAATGTAGATGTACTTCAACTATAGGCATAGGGTTTGTTTCCGGAGCGTGTGGTAAACCCTAGCCATCTCGACTTCCCTTATGATATTCCTGATGCCACCTCTATGGAGATGATGTTGTATAACTGCAACAAGTTTGCTTCTCTTTTTCATGAAGACCTTTCTGACTCATCTAAAATTCATACTGCTAATATTGTCTCCATATTTACCAGAGCCAAAGCATACAAAAAACCCAACTAGTCCTCTTCTAAAAATCAATGACTTTCCAACAATAACCTCTTTGAACATGCGGGATTTTAACAACCCTGGTAAGGTCCTTTGCTGCAAGGACTTAGTCAATTTATTTAAGCATGATCTTATGTGCATCCTTGATTTTTGGTTATGAGAATTGTTGTAATAACTTATTCTTAAAACTTGGTAGGATCTGTATAAAATGGAACTCCACCACTTTAACCTTTGCTCCTATCTCCATTAATCACTAATACATCCATGGCCAAATCTCCTTTGGCTCTCTTCCCTCTTTCTTATTAATTATTGTTTATGAATCTAATTCAAGGATTGACCGTGCCTCTCTGTGGCAAGACCTGAAGCAAATTGGGGAGTGTTTTGCCTCCATTTTGATTATTTTGGGGGATTTCAATTGCTGTAAATCTACTAACGAAAAAGATCAGGGAACCCTGTTCCCTAAAGTAAGCTTTGGGAACTCAACTCCTTTATTGACTCCAGCATTAGAGATCTTACATTTGTTGGTCTGAATTATACTTGGTTTTAACAAAGACTACTAATCATATTCATGTCAAGTTGGATATAATGCTTATAAATGACTCATGGTTACAACTATTTCCTACTTCTTACTTTAAATAAGATAACGCTGGGTGCTCAGACCTTCCCCTTTGACCCTTTTCATTAGACCTCAACAAATTGGAACCCACATATTCCAATTCTAAAACTATTAGACTAAAATATTACTTCAATTTTAGGAGCCTCTACTCTCCATTTTTTTTCCATCCCAACACTGGAACCCCATTTCCAATCTGTACCTATATTGAAGGCTTTAAGGGATGCTATCAAAGCCCAAATTGGGTCTCCTCTAATAGCCTCACTCAAGCTATAAAGGCTATTCAATATGAACTGCTTCTCTACCTACAACAACTATCTTAACCCTACTGTTTCAATTCCATTGCTAAGACTATTATATAAAACCTTACTCATGTTAACTCCTTTTGGTTCTCCTTGATCATCCAAAGATGTAAAGCAGGCTCTCTCAAGGAGAAGATGATCTTGAGTACTTATATGGGAAAATCTATTATAGGTAAAATACTAACATCAAAAGGGAGATGTCCACTCGCTATGTCACACTTCACACCCCAAATGAAATCTTAGAAGCTATTGTAACCCATTTCCAAATGCTTTTTTAACTCTCAACCTTCACACATAACCTTCCCCCCTTACCTACGGGAAACACTATTCCTCAAAGTATGATTTCCTCCCTTTTATCCCTGGTCTTAGATGTTGAGATTAAGAATATTATTTTCTTTGTTCCAAAAGTGTTAGCTCCAGGTCTGAATGGCTTCACTTTTGAATTTTACAAAACATACTTGGCTGATCATTGGCCCTCTAGCTTGCAAAGATGTTCATCACTTCTTTAACATTGCCTAACTCTCCAGGATGGCTAAAGTCACTACTATGCTCATCTTGGCGACATTGTTGTTTTCAGACCTATATATTCCTTTGCAACACTTTCTATAAAATTATTTTAAAAATTATTGCAAACAGATTGGAGCTCCTCATGCCTCATATTATAAACTCTTTCTAAGCTAGTTTTATTAGTAAAAAATATATTTACATATTATATTTCTCTTACTTCTAAGCTACTTGTGGAATTAAAAACTAACATCCCTAAGGCCTTTTTTGTGGGAAGTTAGATATTTTTAAAGCCTTTGATACCATTTCTTCAAGTTTTCTCTTTCAAAGGATGGAACAAAAGGGTTTTCCTTCTTGATTTATTGGTTGGATCAGATATTGAGGGAGGATGTTCATTTTTTTTTATTTGCTTAAGTGGTAGCCTTGAAGGGCTTTTTTGCTTAACATCTGGTCTGAGACAAGTCTACCCATTATCTTTATACATATTTTTCATTGTCATTGATGGTTTGAATGGTGTCTTTGAAAGCTCTATTGAATACAAGGGTATCCCCAAAATGTGTCACCACTTCACTCACTTTTTGCTGATGATATCTTGGTTTTTGGCCAAGCCACCACTCAGAATGCTTTTTCTCTGAACAAGATTTTGAAGGATTTTTGCTTGCACTCGTGGCTTATAATCAACCATGGTAAGAGCTAACTCTACCTCTATCCCAACACTTCAAATGGTCATAGTATCAGCTCAATTCTTAATCTCCCAATTATGGCTTTTCCCTTTAAATATTTGGGCATACTTATCTTCTAGAAACTATCTATCTTTGATTTACACTCTTTGCCTCATAAAATCTCCACTATGTTGAATGATTGAAAATTCAAATTATTTTTCTTTGCTGGTAGGCTACAATACCTTAGATACACCATTTGAATTTCTATCTCCTATTGGATTGGGGGATCCATCCTCCCTAAGTCTTGCTGCAATTTTATAAACAAAACATGCGCCAAATTCCTATGCCATGTTTACTCTTCTTCACGCAGATTTCACCTCATTTCTTAAGCTAGCACCTGCTTGCCTAAGCATCTGGGTGGTTTGGTTCTTCCTTGTATTCAAGGTTTAATTCATGCTAATGGTTACTCTTTCATGTGGCAAAGAAAAATATACCTCTTATTAGAAGATGGCTACTCTTGGTTACTCCCATTATGGAAGAATATTTTTTGCAATTGCTAAGAATTTAGAGACAATTTTAATTTTTACATTAACACTCACTTTAGTTTCTCCCTATTGTGGGATCCCTGGTGTAATGGTAAGTCTCTTATGGAAAGCTATGCTTCATCGTCTTTTCTTCCATTACATCCTCCTCTTTCACCTCTTACTTTGCATCTAATGGCTCTTGACATCTTCTATCTTTCTTACTAGTGGCTATTAGAAATGAGATTATTCAAAACTATCCTATGAGTACTAGCGATATGGACTTCTTCTGGAGAAATCTAGTAGATCCAACATTTCATGACTTATTATGAAAAATTTATGATGAATCTCCCTCTGTCCTGCGACACTATTTATTTGGCATAAGAACTATTCTCTTCATTACTCATATTCTCCTAGTTGACTATTGTTGGAGGGTTGAAAACTATTGATAAGTTAATTAGAAGAGACATTTAGGTTCATGTTATTTGCCGCTTATGCAACAATTATGTTGAATGCACTTCACATTCACTCTTTGAATGTGATTTCTCTTTGAACATTATTACTCACTTTATGCTTTGGACAGCTGGATTTCTTGTGAGACATAATATTTTGCAACTATTCCAATATATTTTTGAGATTCCTTATATTAATTTGACTATTGAAAAGTTTTACTATTTTATTATTTGATGGTGCATATACTTTATCTGAGAGAGAGGAATGTCAGGTGCTTTTGGCATTCTATTACTGATATTTATAATTTGTGTCACTTAATAAAAAAAATTTTTTGTGTCACTTAATCATAAGAGCTATTGTGGCTAAGGTTTTCAATTGGAAGAATTCTTATGATGTCTTGCATCTAATTCACTGTCCTCAATGCCTGATTCTTTGACTTGAGTTCTGTTATGCTATATTGATCTTTTTTATGGTTTGTGTTCAGTTTATTATATTGAATTTTGTTATTTTTGGTTTTGCGTGTTGTTGGTTTCTTCTTAGGCTATATGCAGGCTTGGTGGTTGGTTGTTTCAATTTTATTGGGTTGGACATTGCTTTGGGAAATTTTTGCAAGAAATGATGAGAGGTTTTAACACCATGCACCACTTTACCCCCTTGGATGGCCATTCTGACAACCAGGTAGTGACCCGGGTTCGATCATTTTATATACTACACTTGCTTTTAGGTGATTTTTTCACTTCTTGAGTTTTATTTTGGGCTATAGAACTTGCTTAAATTGATTTCATTTTTTCAATTCCATTTCTCCTAATGTAATTGTTTATAGATTTTCTTCTTTTACACAATGTTCTTCCTGTTGCAATTATCCTTTTTTTTAATGAAATTTGACTCTTCCCCTAAACTTCCACAAAAGAGAAAAAACTATAGTCATAGATGCCTATTGATGTCTATTGTTAATTCTATACTTGAAATTGGTCATATATTGTTGCTGACATATGCAAGTAATCATTGTTGGCCGTTGTTGTTGGTTGCATCAATTATAGTTGCCTGACTGTCATCGAATGACTCGTTTGACAAAATCCCGTAGCCCAATTTTTTTACATAGGTAAATAGTGTGACGCCGACGTCAATATCGCACTGTTCACCTATCAAGCTTTAACATGAGATTTGGAGTTCGAATTGATAGAAAATACATCAGTATACGATAGTATATAGTTCAATTGGAGATGATCTAAGGCATGAAATGAACTCAAATATGAATTGCATTATCGGCTCCTTTGAACAATTATATAGACCAAAAAAAAAAAAAATATAGACCAACAAAAATTATTGTAGTCTCTGAAAACAGACCACACGATTCAACTCCACTTAGGTTGAGCAATCATCATTGTCCACAGCTCACTATCGAGACAACAAAATCAGCGTAAAAAAAGCACAACCTTTCAGTAGAGTATAAATCGAAATTAGGAATAGACATCCCATAAGACAATCCAATACAAAATACAAATGGTTCTTATGATAAAGATAAAAAACTTATCCAATCAGCACTATCAAGAAAAAAACGAGAGATTATTACGTGCGGATGTTGAACGCATCCAATAACAGATGAGGAGGCATCATATCATTCAATATATTGTGTATTAAGTGATGTGATACCTCCTCATTCGCATCCGTATGTAAGCTGGAACTGTTGCTAACAAAATCCATAGAAAAATAGATGAAGCTAACAAAATAAATTAGGGAAGAGGCATCAAGCAATGAATCAGGCGAAATTATTTTTTACGGAGATCAAACGCAGAACATCGTATCAGAATGCGACATGTCAGTGATACCAACCACATGGATGATATGATGCATTATGATTGATCTTCCAAATTACATTCAGCATCCGCACATAATTATTTTTCATGAAATCAGGGGCATGTAAGTACAATGCAAAAAATAAAAGTAAAAAAATCCAGCTGCACAGACAAAATCTCAAGTCAGCTAGTAATGACATTCAAAACTAAATGATCGATGCCTCTCTCAAGTCATAGACAAAGCGTAACACGTTACCTAACCAATTTATGCAAGCTTTTCCTATTAAAAAAAAAAAGGTATTAAGAAGACTTTTTCTTACGCCAAATAAGACCAACATAGTTAAGATCGAGAAGATCACCAAAAATGACATTTTCAAAGCATCGAAAAAGAACCATTGTACTCAATAATGGAAGCATGCTTGAGGCATTTTCTTACTCTCATCCAAAATACAGTGATAGGGTTAGGTTTTAATAAAATTCCAGAGGAAAGGAATCGTAAAGCCTTCAAATAAAATTAGAAGATCTGAAGCTCCTTTGAACTATTATAACTGCTTCAAAAACTTAAGAAAACTCTTAAAATGAAGCTCTTTCCAATGTTAAGATGAGCCCTTCGATAGAAAAGCTTGTGGTTTCGATTCCATCTTCCAATATAGCAATAAACTGTAATTGCTGTGCACATATGAAAGATGATGTGCCCCATTAATTTTGATAATCGTTGCCAAACATCTCCAGATTAAATTCCGCTTACAACAATTTTTTCCTTAAGACACACACCCTTCCTCATCATTTCCTATTTACATATGTTAAGATGAGCCCGCTCACCGTATGCCCATTACATAGTACCCACTTAGAATGACCTCTCCAGCCGAATTAGGCCAAATATCAGCTCTGTGTTCATCATCGTCATCATCAAGATCTTCAAATACAGATCCGTCCAATATTATATCTTTGGGTACTTAGCATCCTCACTCTATTTCAATTCTCTTTCGTTACTATAATTTCATTCTGAGATCGACAACCACCACGGAAACGTTATCAGCGCTTCGCCTCGCCAGCGCCATCTTCGTCAACAAAGTCGCGGCGTCCGAGCAAGCCTTGTCGCATGTCTCTGCTGGCAGGTCATCCTTAACCTCACCCCTTCTGCTGTTCAGCAAACACATCCTCACAATTTGGCACGCCATCTCGTTCGTCACCACATCCCACAGCCCGTCGCTCGCCAGTATCAGAAACTCGTCTTCCTCTTTCCTCTCCGTTACAGTCACCTCTGGCTCCGCCGTCACATACGGCTTCAAGTAACCATCCCCTGTTGCATAATTGCAAATGAGTTAAAGCATTCAATAGACAGACCAAAACAAGTAATTAGGATAAAATTTATGAATTTCACCGATTTCATATTTCCGCTTTTCTTTTTTTAATTGAAGAAAACTTTTATTCTGTTTCAATTCCTTCAGACCAAACAGAGCTTACATATCTGAAGGAAAATAATTGCTCGAGAAGAAGCTTACCGATGGCACGTGACATGGCGAGCACGCCTTGTACCCGTGGCCCGTCCCAAAAGATAACCCGGCCGCCGGCAGCCTGAATCCGCTGCATCTCATCCGGCCGATCTGGCTGTGAATCGTAGAAAGTAAATACGTTAGTTTTGATTGAAAACTGGAGTTGTTATATAATCTTTTAGATCTATCAGTGAATCCACAAAGCCTACCTTGTGATCGATGGAGAGTGGTATGGCGGCGCCTTGCCGGCAAAGGACAGCCCGTGAATCGCCGCAGTTAGCAACAACGATGTGCTCCGGGCCCACGACAGCAACGACGGCGGTGGATCCAACGTGCTCACACTTGGGCGTTTGTAGCTCGCACCGGCAGGTCGTGTTCCGACGCTCGCCGGCTGCACCTCCCCAAGTAACTACCTCCGCATCCATCCGCGAGAAGCTCCGATCCATCACTCCCTCCCACTCCATCGGCGACGTCGGCAGACCAGAATCCAGCTGATCCACCTCATCCTCCAACATCTCGTGCATCCGATTCTTGCACCACGCAGCTACCTAATAAAAAACAATCATAATCGCAAAAGATCAGATCGAGTCCGTATCGGATTCGATTTAAACAATATTTTGTTTATTCCCAAACTAAGCTTACATGTGAGCAGCCGTGGCCGTCGAAGACGCCAAAGAAACTGTGCTTTACTGCGCTGTTCTTGAGGAAATCCGGCCAGATGGAGACGGCGTCCTCCATCTCTCTGCGTAGGCCGCACACCGACGTCATACCGTACCTCGGCGACTGTTCCGATGTCGTCTCCTTCACATCATCGGAGTCTTTTTTGAAGAGAACGACCCGGGGATGCACGGAGATATCAGGTCTCTGCCTCTTGCGGCTGAGATCAACTGGACTTCCCAACGATTCCGTGCCGGCGATACATCTCAACCGTCGGATCTGCATCCTCCGGCGTCTCGCAGCCTGGGTGTTCTTCTCGCATGGCTCAATCGCCGTTACTGTCGCCGCCGGCGACTCTCTTCCCACGATTTCCAAGCATATCTCTGCCATCTATCGCTCCAACCCACCAAATCTCCAATGAGATGCCGCTCGGAGACGCATTAAAAAAAGGCTACGCGGGCTGAGGCGCAACTTGTGGGGCATTGCCGGGCAGAGCGGGTAGTTTGGGCAATTTCCACGACAGTTACTTTAGTGCTGGACCAACCCCTGAACGCGATCACAACCGTCCATCTGTTGAATCGCATTTTTCGTCGCTGGTCTGAGAGCCACGTGCACCCCATGCAGCTCCGCTGCAGCGTTTAGCCACGAGACACGTGTTACGTGTCTCCTGCTTTCCCCAATGCGATCTGCGATCCGCCGTTGATTTTGCAGTACAAGTTTTCTAACGGCGGATTTTAACAGGATGATTGGACACGTGGAGATCAGGGACCAACCGGCCGTTAAAATGGACCCGCCTTTGACGGAGATTTTTTGCTTGCCATGTGTATTCATGTGGCATTTGGTTGACGCCGTAGACTTCTTTGTGGAGAGAAAAAAAAATACATACATTCCATCTTATATACTCTATTCACATATTTAATACTTAAAATTTAATATTACATATATATCATCCATAGTTCATTTTTATATTAAATATGAGTGATAGAAATAAAATATATGAGTGATAGGAAAGAAATATAAGTGGTATATTTGATATTAAAATAATATAAAATGGTATGCATGTAATATTAAAATTTTGGGTGTTAGATATGTAAATAGGATGTTATAAAGTGGTATGTATGTATAAAAAAATTCGTTAAATATGTTCGCGAACAAGCTCAATAAACATTAAACGAACGAACATGAATTGAACATGAACCGAACATGAACACTCCTTAATTTAAATGAACGAAATATGAACACAAACGCTAAAGCTCGAACAAACATGAACCAAACTTGAACAAGCTGATATTAATTAAATGAACACAAACATGAACACTCAAATACTCGGCTCGGCTCGATTTATTTGCAGCCCTAATTATATTGCATATTAATTTAAAAATAAGAAGAATAATTAATTTTGAAAAAGTAATATGAGTAATAAATGAAATATATATGGGAGTTAAGTATTATTAATGTCTTATCAAAACTTTTGACGTGTAAGTTGTGATCTAATATTTTTTTGTTGGTAGGTTTATGTTCTAACACGTTTCTATTCATGAGAGGAAGCTGCGCCTGCGAGGGTCAATTTGTTGAGCGGTTGAACTTCTCCTGCTGCGCGGTAATCTCGCATTCGTTGTCTGTATTAATAAAGCTTTTATTCAGAACTCAGAAGGGACATGGCCGGCCACGTGGTGAGAGAGCCGTAGCGGAACCGCGTCTTATTAAAAAGAGGAAAATGACGGTTCTGATTTCTTCTCGTAATAATTTTGAAAATTTTCAACCCTGCCATGAGATGATTTTTTATTTTAGAGAAAGCGCGGTTCATTTATATAAATCATTTAACCGCTGCTCATATATACATACATAATATGAATTTTAATATAATTTTTAGATTAATCAATATAAAATTAAATTCATCAAGTTAGATTTGAGCTTTTATTATATATAATTGAATGAACTTTGATTTGTATATGCTTACAATCAAAGTGAATCTCTTGATGACAAGAGACTAATGAGTCTACGATCATTCAATTATGGAATGATTAGGGAACTTAAATGAAAGAAAATATTTCTGATTAAATGAATCAATGCAACTTGTCAGATGAATTATTTTGGCATTTTGGTTAGATTTATAAATATAACACTCTTAAAAATTATAAAGAACTATCATTTCCCATATAAAAAGAACATTGACTTGAGTTTAGAGTGAGCTTGGATAACTGAAGAATTTTAGACATTTATTTGACATTTGATGTTAATGATCGCTACTAGTTATCACCATCTTCCAATTGTAGTCATCTGGCCATTGCTGCTTGACTATCAAAATCCATTCACTATCATCTTATAACATTCATTGTTCAATTATCGTTTTCATATTGCTATTATCCAATCATCACCATTCAAACATTGTCATTTCATGACCATTGTTTTCCAAACATGATTTACGGTCCACCGTCAATCATCTAACATCACCTGATCATTATCATCATACCTCCGCTCATCCAATAACCTCTATTATAATAACAGAAGACCAAGCTTTAGTTCATTATTTTGTAATATAATATTCTTTAATTGAGTGGAAGAGCATACTTATGATATTTTTTAATTTTTAAAAGAGGCTAGCCAATAGAGAGTATCAACATGTTATGATAAAGCTTGCATGCTAAAATCAATAGTAGAATATGCATGGACAATAATAAGATGCTCGCACAAGAACCCCTCATCATTTTGTCAAAGTTCTTCATGCACCTAATCTATAGCTCTTTGATAACACTAGTTGAGCTCATCGTGCTACTTAATTGACTTGCAAACCTTTAGTAATGTTAGTAGAGTTTACTTGGCCTCACCTCACGAACCCTTCTCGTGATATCATATCATATGAATTTCATGCATCTCGTTCAAGAATACTTTCCATTAAGGTAAATAAACTAGGTTGATGTAATTTTCAGCATTCTTCGCCCTAGAATGATGCAATCCACTAGTATTCCATTCTAGTGGGATTGAAGTTGCCATTATTAATCCCTATGATGAGTCATCTAAACATCAAGAGCATATCAATCACTATATGATCATCATGGATATCTAGCAAGCATTTGATGCGCTTTTTTTCAAGCCATTCGTACAACTCTTAAGGGATTACTTGTACCTCATTCTAATCAATCTTTAGTAATATTATTCATAATTTTTCCCACATAACTAGGCATTTTATCAAATAATTTCTAGTCAAATAAGAATCGTCAATGACTCCTTCATCAATGCCTCCTTCCATCTATTTGAGATAGATTAAAATAATTGAGAACTCTTATAAAAGTGTTTTCAAAGTTTTTTTTTTTTTTTATAAAGCTTATCGAATTCATGGAGTGGATCTTGACTAATTATTATATATTATTCTTGAAGGTCTCAAACCTAGATATTTTTATTTCTCATTTATGCAAGAGATAATCTAACCTTTATTCAATAAGTGAATGCACAAATTACTCATTTTGGGGTTACTAATGCACATCAAAAGTAATTAAAAATGGTTAACAAGAGAAAAAATAGATATGAAGGTGGTTTTAAAAAAAACTACCTCCTCGACCACCGCCGGAGCTCTTCCCGCCGCCTGAAGACGCCGGAACTCTGCCGGATTTTCGGGAAACGACGGGATTCTGCAAAACTTCCATGGGATGCGGAAATTCTTCTCAATTAACGACAGAGTTCCCTCCTGACGCTGAAACTCCGCCCAAGTGATGTCGGAGTTCCCCTCGGCCTCCAACAGACATCAGACTTCTACCTGATGCCAGACCTTCAATCATCACCAACTTTCTACCCGATGCCGGACTTCTATCGGTTATCGGACTTTCGCTGGACGTATATCCGAATATGGATTTCTTTTCATTGTTGGACTTCTACCTTTCACCGTCCTTCTGACCTTCATCGTCATACACAGTCCTTCCAGCCTCTCTCGTAGGGCAACTGTCCTTCTGACCTCCGTCACCAGCCGACTGCGGTCCTCCTGACTTACGTCGTCCGCCGACTACAGTCCTTCCGACCTCCGTCGCCAGCCGACTACGGTCCTCCTGACTTAGGTCGCCCACCGAATATAAGCCTTCCGACCTCCGTCGCCCGTCGACTATGGTCCTCCCGACCAAACGAACATGTCAATAGTGATTCTTTGTATTCACATAATGTAATGTACTCTATAAAATGTACATCAAGCTAAGGCCTTCTCCCAAGGAAGGGCCTCATTTGTAATCGACTGCAATACTAGTGTATTCATTCAAACTCAGCTAGGCCCCGTGGTTTTCCCCCGTTTTTTAGGGGTTTTCCACGTAAAAATTCTGGTGTCTTATAAATGCTAGACCCTCTCTGTTATCTAATTGCATGCCGGATTTTCGTACAACGCTAAGACAATAAACTTTATATTTCTCTATCACCGCGAATACTCCTGGATGCAACAAGTTCATTATTTTGTAATATAATATTCTTAAATTGAGTGGAAGAGCATGCTTATGATATTTTTTAATTTTTGAAAAAGGTTAGCCAATAGAGAGTATCAACACGTTATGATGAAGCTTGCATGCTAAAATCAATAGTAGAATATGCATGGACAATAAGAAGATGCTCGCACAAGAACCCCTCATCATTTTCTCAAAGTTATTCATGCACCTAATCTATAGCTCCTTGATAACACTAGTTGAACTCATCGTGCTACTTAATTGACGTTTGCAATTCTTTAGTAATGTTAGTAGAGTTTACATGGCCTCACCTCACGAGATCTTTTCGTGATATCATATCAGATGAATTTCATGCATCTCGTTCAAGAATACTTTCCATTAAGGTAAATAAATTAGGTTGATGTAATTTTCAGCATTCTTCACCCTAGGATGAAGCAATCAGTTAGTATTCCATTCTAGTGGAGTTGAAGCTGCCATTATTAATCCCTATGACGAGTCATCTAAACTTCAGGAGCATATTAATCACTATATGACAATCATGGATATCTAGAAAGCATTTGATGCACTTTTCTGTCAAGTCATTCATGCTACTCTCAATGGATTACTTGTACCTTATTCTAATCAATCTTTAGTAATATTATTCATAATTTTTCCCACCTAACTAAGCATTTTATCAAAAAATTTATAGCCAAATAAGAATCATCAATGACTCCTTCCATCTATTTGAGATCCATCAAAATAATGGAGAACTCTTATAAAAGTGTTTTCAAAGTTTTTTTTTTAAGCTTATCGAATTCATGGAGTGGATCTTGACTAATTATTAGATATTATTCTTGAAGGTCTCAAACCTATATATTTTTATTTCTCATTTATGCAAGAGATAATCTACCCTTTATTCAATGAGTGAATGCACAAATTACTCATTATGGGGTTACTAATACACATCAAAAGTAATTAAAAAATGGTTAACAAGAGAAAAAATAGATATGAAGGTGGTTTTAAAAAAAACTAAA